TTTTTTCGGATTGATTTCACCCAGTAAGAACAGACTCTACTTACTCAGTGAATGCAAGAATTTACTGCTGTCTCCAATCTGTAGCTTTAGAAATCCAAACTCATTGGCATTTTGCAAGATGAACTTTGCAACCCAGAAATAAGTACAGTATTGTCTGAGAGGCAACAAAATAACAAATAACCCTACTTTAAAGCAAAATCCTGTGAGGTGCATTGAGAAGTCCTCCCAACATGAAAAGGCGCTATATCAAATACAGCTTCAACCAAAACCATTGAAATGATATGTAAGGATTTCCCTTTGTTAATATCTAATGGATTGGATGCAACACACTTTATATCTCCTAATGGTGATGGTTTGAATTAAAATCTACGCCCACACGCTTTTTTTTTCAAAAACACCCCTCCTGCTCCTCATGCTATAACGGTATCATTTTCAAAGCTGTAATTTCATGATATGACATCTTCACTCAGAACTGAGTGGATTTTTGGAAAAGTGGCAATAAATTAAGTTAATCGTATCCGTTTAATTCTGAAAACGTTTAGTTTCAAAACATTTCGATTTAACCCAAGTCTATCAGGTGCCTCTCTTTTGGTGCGACAATTATTCATTTTGCTTTAAAATGTGACCTATTTATTGCATGTTAAAACATAAGCACAGTTCTATGTGCTTTGAAGGCTTGTAATCCGTCACTTATGTCAATCATGACACATTCTGATGCTGACAGCTCGAATATAAGGCTATAGTTCCATAAGATGAAGTTGTCACAAGCTATTACTATCTTATAGCAAAAATGGCTACAGGTGGGCACCTGCCAAAAACACAGACAAGCTGCACATCAACTTGTCTCTTCTCATTTCCTTCTTAATTCAGAAATGTTACCTTATGTCTCCAGTAGTGAAAAACAGCATCACAACTTGCTTGTGGCTCAAACTGATATTACTGTTTCAAAGTTTATAGACTGGATTTCAACCTCCCTGAGTCGGAAGTTTGTGGATTCATGCTACATGTCAAGGCTTGGAAATCACAATTTAGGCTGACACTCCAATGCAGTGCTAGAGTTTGCTGCTGCGTTCGCCTACAAATCTACAGTCCCTACACTTTACAGCAAAATCCTGTGAGGTGCTTTGAGAAGTCCTCCCAACATGAAAAGGCACTGTATCAAATACAAGAATTATTACTATTTAATTCCTTGAGGCTGCGGTTGAAGCATTTCGACATGGTGGTGCGCTGTACCAAAATTATTCATTTCCACATAATTGCCGTTAATTATTGCTGACTGAAGCCCATGTAGATGTGTTTGCATTGATCATTGTTATTGTTATGATAATTAGGATTATTTGAATAACTTGTATGTGTACCAAGGACACTCACACGCTATGTGATTGAAGGTACACTGTTTTTTGCCTTGTGAAAGCCTTTGTTTTGAATTTTAAAATGTACAACATTTCAGAAAGACACATGGCAAGTTATTCAAATAATCCTAATTGTCACAACAATAACAATGATTAAAGCAAACACATCTGCATGGGCTTCAATTCAGTAGTAATTAACAACAATTATGTGGTTATGAATAACCATCAGAATATTTCAAAATCACTGTTGCCCATCATTGAAACATTGATAACATTCTGGCAATTTTCATTTTTCATTGTGTGTTAGGGCTTAATGACCCAGCCCTAACACACAATAGACTAACATTAATTGAATAAAAGGATAGATATTCGCTAAAATAGTATTTATTAAAGTCACCAATTACCATGACAGTCTGTTTCTCAAGCAAATGCTCTTTACTTTTCTTCCACAGCAACAACTAAACCAGACAAATAAGACAGTGAAGGCACTATGGTCTTTGAAGAAAACTCACAGAAGGTAGAAAGCTGTACATAACATAAAAAAATGTTATATCTGAATACATGAAGCATTCGGAATAAAACTGATGAATTAAAAGCAAAGATAGACACATATGGGTACGATCTAGTAGCCGTCACTGATACATGGTTACAAGGAGATCTAGGGTGGGAGTTAAATAGTCCAGGGTTCTCAGTTTACAGGAAAGATAGGCACTGTGGGAAAAGAGGTGGGGGGTAGCCCTGTTAATTAGAGATGAAATAAAAGCAGTGGAGAGGAAGGATCTGAAGGAGGTCGAGACAAAATGGATTCTTTCCAACAGTGGAAATAAAAATAATACATGGCAGAAAATATTATTGGGAGTGGTTTATAGACCCCCAAAACAGTGATCACAATATAGCACAGGGTATTAATCAAGAAATCAGTTGAGCATGTAGGAAAGGTAAAGCGATAATAGTGGGTGATTTCAATCTCCACATAGATTGGGAAAACCAAATCAGCAAAAGTTGGTCAGAAGAGTTCATTGAGTGTATGAGAGATAATTTTCTAGAGCAGCATGCCGAGGAACCAACTAGGGGACAGGCCATCCGAGATCTTGTTTTGTGTAACGCAACAAGGCTAGTTGGTAGTGTAGGTATTAAGAATCCTCTAGGGCAGAGTGATCACAATATGATTGAATTCTGCATTAAGTTAGAGAGGGATATAGTTAAATCTGAGGCAAGTATTCTGAATTTAAATAGGGCTAATTTTGTAGGTATGAGGAAAGATTTAGGTAAAATAGACTGGAGAATAAGATTAAGAGGTAAAAATGTAGACCAACAGTGGCAAATATTTAAGGATGTAGTGCAAAATTCTCAACGGTCGCATATTCCCTTGCGGAATAAGAGTACCACAGGGAAAGCAATTCATCCGTGGCTAACTAGAGCAGTTAGGGAAAGCATCAAATTAAAAGAAAAGGCTTATAAAACTGCCAAGAAAAGCAGCAAATCTGAAGATTGGGAGAGTTTTAGAAACCAGCAAAAAAAAACTAAAAACTCATTAAGAGCGAGAAAAAGGAGTATGAGGGTAAGCTAGCTAGGAACATTAAGTCTGATTGTAAAAGTTTTTACAAATACATTAAGAGGAATAGGCTAGTGAGGGTAAATGTAGGTTCACTTCAGTCAGAGACGGGAGAAATTGTAATGGGGGATAAGGACATGGCAGAGTCCCTAAATGGGTACTTTGCATCTGTCTTCACCCTAGAAGACACAAGTCTGCCAACAATAGAGATGCACCAAGGGGATAAGGACAGGAAGCAACTTAGGGAAACTTTCATGAGTAGAGAATTGGTGCGAGGGAAACTGTTAGCACTAAAAAGTGACAAATCCACTGGTCCGGATGGCTTGCATCCCACGGTTTTAAAAGAGGGAGCTTATGAGATAGTGGAGGCCTTACGTCTGATCTTCCAAAATTCCTTGGATTCTGGAACAGTCCCCATGGATTGGAAGATCGCAAATGTCATAACACTATTTTAAAAAGGTGGAAAGGAAAAGATGGGGAACTATTGGCCAGTTAGTCTCACATCAGTGATAGGAAAAATTTTAGAATCATTGATTAAGGATGTGGTAGTGAGGTATTTATGGGAGCACAATATAATTAGGCCAAGTCAACATGGCTTTACAAAAGGGAAGTCATGGTTGACAAATCTCAAATTGTTTGAGGATATTTTGAGTAAACTAGATAAGGGTGAATCAGTGCATGTGGTCTATTTGGACGTCCAGAAGGCATTCGATAAGGTGCCGCATAAAAGGTTAGTCCAAAAGATAAGGGCCCATGGAATTGGGGGAGCATATTAACGTGGATTGGGGAATGGTTAACGGGTAGGAAACAAAGAGTAGGGATAAACGGGTCCTTTTCAGATTGGCGGGATGTGACTAGTGGAGTGCCACAAGGATCAGTCCTTGGGCCTCAGCTATTTACCATCTACATCAACGATCTAGATGAGGACATTGAAGTTAATATATCTAAATTTGCGGATGACACAAAACTAGGAGGAAGTGTCAACACAGAGGATGACATTAAAAAAATGCAGCGCGACATAGATAGGTTAGGTGATTTGGGCAGGTAAGTGGCAAATGAAGTATAATGTAGGGAAGTGTGAAGTCATCCACCTAGGTAGCAAAAACAGTAGAGCGGGTTATTTTTTAGAAGGGGAGAGATTGGAATGTGTTAGCGTCCAGAGGGACTTGGGTGTCCTTGTACACCAATCACAGAAAGTTAGTCTGCAGGTGCAGCAGCAATTAGGAAGGCGAACGGTATGTTAGCATTCATTATGAAAGGATTAGAGTATAAGAGTAGGGAAGTCTTGCTGCAACTGTATAGGGCCCTGGTGAGACCACACCTGGAATACTGTGTGCAGTTTTGGTCTCCTTATTTAAGGAAGGATGTACTTGCCTTGGAGGGGGTACAGCGTAGATTTACTAGGTTAGTACCAGGGATGAAGGGGATGAGTTACAAGGATAGGCTGACCAATTTGGGCCTATATTCTCTAGAATATAGAAGAATTAGAGGTGTCTATAAGATCATCAAAGGGCATCATAGAGTAGACAGTGGGAGATTGTTTCCACTGGTTGGAGAAACTAAAACCAGGGGTCACAACCTTAAAATCAGAGGCAGCCCTTTCGCACTGAGTTGAGGAAGAACTTCTTCACTCAAAGGGTGGTGAATGTATGGAACTCACTACCCCAAAGGGCTGTTGACGCTCAGTCCTTGAACATATTCAAGACTGAGATAGATAGATTTCTTATTGCAAAAGGGACTCATGGAGTCCTGTAGCTCAGTGGTTAGAGCACTCGCTTTGCAAGCGAGAGACCTGAGTTCAATTCCAGGCAGGCCGAAACCTTGGGCAGGGTTCCTTACTCCACATGCCTAATAATAATCCCTCCAAAACCAAAAACAATAATAACTTGGTCATTTTCAATCTACGACTGTTTGTGGGACATTGCTGTGCGCAATTGGCTGCCGCGTTTGCCCACAAATATACAGTCAATTCACTTTACAGTGTGTTCTGTGAAGCGCTTTGGGACGTCCTCCCGACGTGAAAAGCGCTATATCAAATGCAAGGATTATTATTAAGATCAGCCATGATTGAATGGCAGTGCAGGCTCGAAGGGCCGAATGGCCTATTCATGCTCCTACATGTTATGTTATGGCAGGTGTCTCCATTTATGTTAAATTCCACCTCAAACTAATAGAAAGAAGTGGTGATCTGAGAGGAACTTCTCAGCCTAAGCAAATTGAAAGAAAAACAGAACAGCTGCCAATACTACAAAGACAGCCAACAGTTGGAGCACTGTGAGCGAGGGCTGTTCCTCACTGTCAGCGAGAACACGCGTTTTAGTTGCCTTGATGATTCGGTCCCACTGGGTCAGGATAGAATCTCTGGCTCCTGGCCACTTCCCAGGCCCAGTCACACGGTATTGGTAAGGAGTGCATGGGCCGAAGAAAATCTCATACGCCAGACGTGGATCACTGAGGAGCAGCTCCTTTACATTGGGTTTCACTCCAATCAGCTCAGCTAATTCATCCATGTAGGGTATATAATCCACTTGGATAGTGTGTCTTGAGGAACAGACGTATCTTACATAAAGCAAGAGACAGGAGAAAGTGAGAGAGAGAGATATACACAAGTTTAATGGTGATGCGCTTAATTTGGTCACTAGATATTTTAAGAAGAGATAAGAACAACAACAGCAACTTGCATTTATATAGCGCCCCTCAAGCAGGATAGCGTCCCAGAGTGCTTGACAGTGGCGCAGCATGATGCCAAGCCGGGGGGAGGGGACAAGACAATAGATACAGTGGGGGCAAAGCCACAAAGATCTACCAGTTTCTATAAATTCTAATCAAGATCTTGTAAACATTGGATGTCAAATTGATCAGTTGCAGTATGTGTAGAATCCTCACCTTTTAGCCATTGCTTCTTTCTTCTCCAATATCTCTGCCATCATAGTGCTCTCAGAAGGTAGTTTAACTAAGCCTATAAACGATTCAGACAAAAAATAAAGCATATTATTCCAACGACAAATTAACAACAAATTACATTTGTATAGCATCTTTTACCAGTGCTTTGGGACGTCCTCCTGACATGAAAGGAGCTCTATGAATGTGACTTTGTTGTTGTTGTTTGTTGTTCACATCAGGAGAATGTCCCTAGGCGCTGGGATTCCAGGCAGAAAATCAGGTTTACTCCTTTTATTTTCTAAAAGACAATGGATTTTTAGAGGCCATTAGGAAGTAACGGCAGTGAGGAATTGAATAGAAAAGGTCCCAGGTTCAATTCCTGATCTGTACTGAATTAGGTGATCTTAGCTGGGGGGAGAGGTAGATTCCACAAATGGTTTCAAAACACCTATCCCTGACTTAGAAAAGGGAGAAAATCAGCCAGGGATAGGTCTTTGCCTTTGATATAATGCCTTGTCACGTCATTGAGACATCTCAATGTGCTTCACAGGATATACTGTAAAATGGATTGACTGTGTATTTTGTGGGTGAAACACAGCAGCCAGTTGCACAAAGCAGTGTCCCACAAACAGCCGTGTGTGACCAAGTGACTGACCAATTTTATTTGGGGGATATAGGGAGAAACTCCCTTCTCTTTTCGAATAGCGCCAAGGGATCTTTAACACTAAACAGGCAGATGGGACCTCGGTTTAATGCCTCATCCAAAGGACGGCACCTTTCGCAATCCAAAACACCCCCAGCACTCCATTGGAGTGTCAGCTTAGACTGTGTGATTCCAAGTCCCGACATGGGGTTTGATGAAATCACAACCTTCTGACTCAGAGGCGAGAGTGCTACCACTGAGTTAGGGTGACACATAATATAATGATATTGAAAGTGCTGACTGTGCATTTCCAGCATGGTCCAGGATTGCAATGCAAGGATTATTATTATCAATGCATTAAATGCAGACTTTGTTCTATTAATATGATTTCACTATGGAAAGCAATGTATTCACACAGTGAAAGCTTCAACACAAAGTAGAACAATTTGTTCAAGCTTATAGAGGTTGTTCAAGTGGAGTCCTATAGGTTAGTGGTTAGAGCGTTCACCTCGCAAGCGAGAGGATTTGGGTTTGATTCCTGGGCGGGGCAAAACCTTAGGCAAGTTTCCTTACTCCACATACCTCTGTTTACCTAGCAGTAAGTAGAAACCCGGTTATTGGCCGATTGGCCAATAAAAAATAATAATTTAGTCACTCAATACACAGTGGTTTGTGGGACACTGCTGTGCGCAATTGGCTGGCACATTCCACCCACAGAAATATACAATTAATTCACTTTACAGTGTTTTCTGCGAAGCACATTGAGACGTCTGAAGACGTGATAAGGCTCTACATCAAATGCTAGGATTATTATTGTTCTATGTTCTATGTCTTTTCCTCATTTTCCCTTTTAACATTGTGGTTCCTACCTTTGAACACTCTTGTTGTCCAACGTGCCTGAAGTTCTGCTATTGGCATGATGGCTCCAATGGGCTGGATGTAACCAATGAAGGCTAGTGTCGGCTGCTCCAGCTGAGGTGGAAAGACATACTTGTAAAGCGAAACTTGGTTGTTCTTAACTTTTACAACCTCATCCAGAAATGGAAAGCAGAAGGTGTATCCCGTTGCAAATATCACCACATCAATGTCTTCCTCCACGGTTCCATCTTCAAAGATAGCAGCGGTCTCAGTAAACTGCTTCACATTGGGTTTCACCAGAAGAGTCCCTGATAAAATTCGATTTGGTAAATCATCATTGACCATTGGGTGTTGGCTAACGTACCTATTAGACAAAGATCAAAACAAAAATAATTACTACAATCCAACAATACCTCTACCATGTATTGCAGAAATCAGAGTGAGGATTGACCAAAATCTAGATCGCTATAACAACAACAACATTGCATTTACAGAGCGCCTTTCACGTCGGGAGGATGTCCCAAGGCGCTGGACAGTTGGGTCGGGACCCGAGCAGGGGGGAAATGGTCAGGATGAGGGGAGGGAAGGGAGGGAGGGAAGGGAGGGAGCGAGGAGGGGAGGGAAGGGAGGGAGCGAGGAGGGGGTAAAGAGTCGAGAGGGGAGCTGAAGGCACGGTTGAAGAGAAAGGTCTTGAGACCGGACTTGAAGGAGGAAAGGGAGGAGGCAAAGCAAAGGCACTGAGGGATGGAGTTCCAGAGTCTCGGGGCTATAAAACACTTTGAGATGTTGCGATGTGAAAAACATTATACAAATGCACATTGTATTGTAAGTTTCATTATATGAAATAAAACAGATTGCTAGATATTTCAGACCTGTGCTTAGGCTGTAGACCATAGTTTGCATGATTAAATCGTTCATTCAATTTTCTTTCCACTAGCCAAGTTAATACAGACACAGGTAACATGTTTTGGATTAACACATTGAAGCGAGTGCTGAAATACACATCCGCAGGGATTCCATTTTGTCCTACACGATTAAGTATCCAGGAACCTCTTCTTGTACTAAGAAATACCTACAAGAGAAGAAAGTATCTTAGATTTGAATGATGATATTAAGTTGTAAAATCTTCTTCATGTGCAATGTATGTTAACACACTCTTGTATTTCATAGTGGGTTTGCAGCATTAATTTTTATTCTATATCAGCAGGAATATCTAATTTACAGAAACCCATTTAGCTTGTGCTGGTGTTTTTCCAACCTTATAAGCCACCTGATCTAATCCCCTCTTCTACTCATTCCTTGTTCCATTTAATGTTCCCCCTTTTCAACAACACGACCACCAACAACTTGCATTTATATAGTGCCATTCATATTAAGTGACCTTGGAGTATTTTACAAGGTTGGACATCTAGGAAGATGGGTAAGCAGGAGATGGCCATTAGATGCGTTCGAAGAAGTAGGATTTGATGTGGAACTTAAAGATGTTCCAGAAGTTACGGGTGGAGAATCTGAAGGCTTGGCCACCAATTGGTGGCATTGGGAGATGCCAAGCCCGAGTTAGCCAAGCGGAGGGAGAGAGAGAAGCAGTATGGTAGGAAATGATCGGAAAGATAAGGAAGTGCCAAGGTATAGATGGAGTTGTAGATGAGGATGAGCACCTTGAAATCGATAGCAAGATAGTGGAGCTGGGTGATGAGTTTGCAGAGTTTTGTGCAGGTGAGTTGCAACTTTTAAATTCTTTAAGATATCTATCTAAATTCCCTTTTGAAAGAATTTGAAAAATCTCAACCTCAACAATGGTTTGTAGCCAAGAAATGCCCAACCCTCATGTAAATATTGTTTTCCCAAACTCGTTTTTTAATTTCCTTTTGGAAAATTAAAGGATCATGCCAGAGCACCACTAAGCAGTCCAACCCTGGATAACACCCAGTTTCTGATGCTAACTAGCCGCCTAAAATATGGCCGGCTGACTTTTAGATTGTCAGGTTGCTGCGGATGTCATTTCCTGCATATTGTGCAGAAAACACCATTGATGACTCTAAAGTCAGCCATACTTCATTTACAACGGGGGGTGTGACTTTTGAATCCAGACTCAGTATTATAACGGGATTGCCACTGTAAGTCATGTATTCAACCCATTTTAAACCGTGCTATTTTTCTACAATAGGTTCTACACCAATCTGTCATTCCTTTCACCATTCGTAGTGTTATTGCTACCAAACTACAACAGCATCAACTGACAGGAAGAGAAAGTTTTACTGAAAAGTAACTTACTTTTGTTTCACACAAATATAATAAAACTATTTCAGACACACTTTTCTTTGTATTGGCAGTTACCTGTTTAGCATGCCGACTAATCTCAACAGCAAGGTCGCCTCCAGAATTTCCAATTCCAATTACAATCACCCTTTTTCCTTCAAAGGCTCCCGGATCCTTATATTCCTTGCTGTGCATGTACTGGCCACTGAACTTTTCAATGCCTAATGGAAGGCAAACAGATAAGAATTTTAAAGAATTGCACTTGGTCAAAAGAAACTGCCTATTTTGCAGTATTTCCTAAGAGACTAAGGAAGCCTGGTTACACACAGGAGTGCTCCTACTGGTAACCAGTAAGTATGTTACACTCCACTAGAATAACAACAACAACTTGTATTTATATAGCGCCCTTCGCATGGGGTAGCGTCCTGGAATACAATCTACTTCTAGAGAGGCATTACTGCATATCAGTGGAAATTCTAATGATCAGGAAGCTGAGATGAATTGTATCCTGCATTTAAAAGACTTTTCTAAATTCATAAGGTTTTTCTTCCCATGAAAACAGAAAAAAGCATTGAAATTATGACAGTTTAGTTATTCCAGAGAACATCACGTTCTGGAATACATTCCATCTCAATGATTCAATAATGGTTTAGTTAACACACTGTGCTTATTGCTGCAAACACATGTAGCTGACCCTGACTTCTCAGCAGAACTTGCTCCGTGTGTGATCCAGTTGGTATATTCTTCTACTCACCAGGGAAACAATTCAGAGGTAAATTGGGGTCTGAATGGTGACCAGTACAGACCAGAACTGCATCAAAAATGGCTGATTCCAGGTTGTCCTCGCCGTCTCTTGTTACAACATCCCACTGTCCAGAGGAGGAAAAATCTGCTCGCTTCTTCATGCTGCATACATTATGCTACAGAAAGAGAACACAGGTGAAACCATTACTGATCCAGTTGCTTCTGGTTAAAAGAGCCTGATTAAAACCCAAAGCTTGAAAGTAAAATAAATTCTTGTGAATATTTCAAATCTTACCTTAAACCGTATGTACTTCAGCAGATCAAAATGCTTAGCATAAAGCCGGAAGTATTCTATAATCTTGGAATTATGCATGTAGTTTGGATAATGTGCAGGGATTGGAAAATCACTGAAGCACATCATTTCTTTAGAGGTATTGATAATCACAGATTTGTAGATGCTGGCCTTCTGATTGGTTGCTTTATCCTAATAAAAAATATATAATTTAACTCATGGAATTATTTTAGTTTTGAATTATATTTTTCCAAAGCATAACTACATTTTCAGCAATTAATATTCTAACATTTGCATTCTATAATAAGTAATCCTTGCATTTGATATGGTAACGTGTGATGCCATTGGAATATCTCAAATCGCTTCACAGGATTTACGTATTTACAGTGATTGTAAGAAATCTGTAGGCAAATATGGCAGTCAATCAGTGTCCCACAAACAACCATGAAGTGAATGATCAATTTTATCTGAGAGGTTGTTGGCCAAGACACTCGGCAAAACTCCCTTCTTTTTTTAAATGGTGCCGTGGGATTTCACAACGTCCACCTGAGCAGGATGGAACCTTAGTTTAACGTCTCATCCGAAGGAAGGCACCTCTGACAATGCAGCACTGTTTTGGAGTGCCAGCCTAGACTGTGAACTCAGTGTCATGATGTAGGGCTTGAACCCACAAACTTCTGACTCAGTGGTGAGAGTGCTACCAGCTGAGCCGAGCTGACACCTTAAATGACATGCACCACAAAGCCGAGTGTGTTTGGCGCCAATCGTTCCAAATGAAACACTCAAAACCACCTGATAATTCCATAGGCCCCCAACATCATCGGACCTCTCAAAGCAGACAGGTTCCAAGCCTTCATCCAAACAGCACTTTGTAGCAGTGAGTCCACTGTTACCAGCCCCAATGATGGCAACTCGTTTCACCATGCTGACCTAACAAGACATAAAGCCATGCATTGAAAGGCATTTGTTTTCTTTTGTTTTAAAATGTTAAATTTTATCTTACTTAGTAAACAATCTGATTGAGAAATGCAACATATTGACTAAGTGTGTTGCAAACGTTCCTCAAATAAAACAGTGTAAATAACCCGATTCAGAAAAGAACCCTGCAAACACTGCAAGCAAAAAAGTGAAACCTTTTTTCTGGCACTTATTTTGCATTGAAATGTCTTAAAGTGCTTCAAATTTAATAAACGTTTGTTGGCAAACATAGCAGCTATTTCCTCCAACAAACACTGTCATTAGATGGTATGGAAGATGGAGTATTATTGGCCAGGACATCATAACAAAATCCTTTCTCCTTTTAAGAACAGCATCAAACATTTTCAATCAAATCTTAAGGTCTAAAATTGACCTGTCTCTCCATTGCTTCAGGATTGCATTACCATGTTGATTTTAAAATCAAAGTATATTATTAAAAATAACAATAATTCTTGCATTTGGTATAGCGCCTTATGATTCCATTGTGACATCTTAAAGCACTTCACAGAATATACTGTAAAGTGGATTAAGAGCAAAACTTGTCAGAAACTCACAAAAGTTATGGATACGTTTGTAGAGATGTGCGTCAACCATGGTGATTGTGGCAGAGGTTAGATCAAGTTACATGCGGGATCCAGTTTTAGTTTTTGAAGGGAATCTGAAGGTAGTAATCACCATTAATGTTTAAACTCTATTTTGTTTAAAGTAGAAATTATATTTTGTTAAAAAAGTTAGAATTGTTTTTCTTGCACAAACACACGCACGCAGTTGTTATGATGTGGAATACCTTAGCATAAATAGTCATAACAACATTTCAAAAGGAATAAACAGGTCAGGAAAAATATTAAGATGATGGGGAGGGAGGGAAGGGAGAGAGAGAGAGAGAGAAGAGTAGGAGAATGAGATTGCAACAGATGTGTGTGGACATCTTTGTTGCGGATACAGAAGGTTTGTTTAATTTATATAATTATAACAACGGCAAAATTATATTTGTATAGCGCCTTTCACATCGAGAGGACGCCCCAAGACGCTGGACAGTTTTAGACCCCAGCTGGGGGTCGAGGTCGGGGAGGGTGGAGGGCAGGGGGGGAGGCAGGGAGATCGAAAACACGGTTGAAAAGGAGGGTCTTGAGGGGGTCTTGAAGGTGGCAAGGGAGAGGTCGAGGTGGAGGGATTGGGGGATGGAGTTCCAGAGGGTGGGGAAAGAGTGGCGGAAGGCCCGCGTGCCAATAGAGGAACGAGCGAGGCGGGGGACGTGAAGCAGGCTGGAGCCCGCTGAGTGGAGGAAGCGAGCAGGATGGTAGGGGGTTAGGAGGTCGCAGAGGTAGGGGAGAGCAAGACCATGGAGGGCTTTAAGGGTGAGGACCAGCATCGTGAACTGTATCCTCTGTGTGATGGGAAGTCAGTGGAGTTAGGCGAGGATGGGGGTGATAGGGTCACGGAGCCTAGTGCAGGAGAGGTCGTGGACTGCAGAGTTCTGGATGATCTGCAGCCTATGGAGGGAGGAGTCAAGGAGGCCGACAAGCAATGAGTAGCAAAGCCTGGATGTAATGAAAGCATGTATGAGGGTTTTATATTATGTATAATCTGCATTCCTGCATTAAGAGAGTAACTATGGTGATGATGGCTGATTTCGGATCAAATTTCACACGGGATCCAGTCTGAGTTTTTAAAGTCAAAACTATTGTGTGCACAGATATTATGAGTCGCTTCTCTATACTGCAATCAAACTGTGATTCATTCTTTGCATTACTACATTGAACAAATACTGAAGTTTCTGTTTGTGTGCGTACAACTAACTAACAATACAGAATGTACCGATTCGAAACCTATTATGGTTTAAACATGGAAAGTCTTTTCTGCATTAACAAATCTGATTGTACTTACTCCACCAAGTGGAAGGAGCTGTTGTTCTGTCTCTGATCTCGCTCAGTCTGTAACAAAAGCCTACAAGCAGCTGTTCACAAAGCAAACATTTTACAAAGTGAACTTTGTAACTCAGGGAGGAGTCTCGAACAAAAGCACAGTTGCATAGTTTTCACATTCAACGATTACCCACCCACCCATTTTCTTGCCAACTATTTCTCTTCCGTGTCATGTTCAGTGATGCTTTGTATTGAACAACTTTTTGACTCGGAACTAAATAGCAAATAAGTTTTTTTCTACTGTGGGAGAAATTCCACATGGTCTGGATTTACTCTGTGTAGCATTTTTGTGCATCCAGAATCCGGCAAATTATTAAATGCAACCTTAACTTTTGAAGCCAGTTTATTGCAAGTTCTTTTAAGAAATAAAGAACACCAGCTTTAAATCACGACCCCATGTAAAACTTCTCCCAAATAGAACTGCTCCTCTTTGTAATCTGACACCAGCATCAATCACAATTCTGACAGCTGGGATTGTTCTCCTTAGTGCAGAGAAGGTTGAGGGGAGATTCAATAAAGGTGTTCAAAATTATGAGGGGTTTTGTTAGACTAGTTGAGGAGAAACTTGTGGTTCTGGCTGGTGGTTCGGTAACCAGAGGACACAGATTTAAGATACTGGTCAAAAGAACCAGAGGTGAGATGAGGAGAATTTTTTTTACCCAGAGAGTTGTTACGATCTGGAATGCACTGCCTGAAAGGGTGGTGGAAGCAGATTCAATAGTAGCTTTCAAAAGGGAATTGGATAGGTATTTACAAAGGAAAATATTGTAGGACTATGGGATAAGAGAGGGGGAGTGGGACTAGTTGAATAGCTTTCAAAGATCCGGTACAGGCACGATGGGCCGAATGGCCTCCTTCTGTGCTGTAAGATTCTATGGGATGTTAACATTTCCTTTCTAAGGACACAGTTCCCAAGTTATGCTTTCTTACTATAGGGTTCCTAATATTTATCTTCAATAATCCTTGCATTTGATAATAGTTCCTCATCATGTTGAAACATCTCAAAATGTTTCAAATACTTTTAACTATAGTGACTGTATTTGGTACCGACTCCCTGTTCGGGTCCAAATCCCTGACTGACCAGCACCTTGGGACGTCCTTGTGAAAGGCACTATACAAATGTAATTTGTTGGTGTTGTGGTTGTTTATAGACTATGGGGCAAACATAAATTTTAAGCCACTTTTCAATGCTGGAAACATAAGGAAGATTGAGATAATTCATAACTGATTCAATGTGAGATGTTATGAAATATCACAAATTTCCACCCTGTGCTTCAAAACTAATGATTAAGGCAAAAAAGGAATTTTAATATCTTTTCATTTTCCCGTAGAGCCATTTTACTGACAGACAGCAAAAAATAGAATGAGCAAAATCTCTTCAATGAATGAATGGTGGGTGTATGTGGAGCCCAATATTTTTAGTTTGTAATTCAAACATGTACCACTCAATGGCGTACTGTAATAAATTCACTGCAGAGGCATTGAAGACATTTTTGCTTTGTGAAAGCTGCTTTATTTAATTTCAAAAGCGGACAAGATTTAAAGACACATGACAAGTTATTCAACCGTCCATAACCACCACAACAGTAACAGTGATCAAATATCCACCTCGGCTTCAATTAGGAAATTATGGTAATTACAGGGTTACGAATAATTTTCACCATTAGAATATTCCAAAATCACCATGACACATCATTAAAACATTTATAAAATTCTCACTTCCCATTTTAATCACCCAACCCTAATATATGTACTGATGTTGTATGAATAAAAAAGTAATAGGCATTTGATAAAGTTAGTAATTATTAGTAATTAAGAATTTAAGAGAATTCAGTGAAGGCACTGACGTCTTTTTGGAAAAAAAAACACAGAAGTTAAAGAGGTTCATAGGATGACGCATGTCTCCATCAAGGTTAAATGCCAACCACCACCTCAAACTAATAAGTGATCTGAGTGAGCCTCAACCTAAGCCCCCAGAAAGAAAAACAGAACAGCTGCCAATACTACAAAGGCAGCCAATAGTTGCAGCATCAGTGGCATGGAGGACTGTTTTTCATCGTTAGCAAGAAGACATGATTTGGGTGCCCTGAAGATTCGGCTCCACTGTGTCAGGATGATCTTCCTGGCTTCCGGCCATTTCCCAGGCTCAGTTAGACGGTACTGGAATGCTGTGCAGGGGCCGAAGAAAATTTGAAACGCGAGTAGTGGATCACTCAGGAAGAGCATTTTGCTGGGTTTTACCCCAATCATGTCAGCTAATGAATCCAAGTAGGCTATCCAATCTACCTGGGCCGCATGTCCTTGGGAGGTACCATACCTAATATAAATGGAGAAAGAGATACACTAGCTTAAGAGCAATGTTTTTCATTTAGTTGTCTACTCCCCGAAACTCTGGAACACTCTCCCTCAATCCCTCCGCCTTACCACCTCTCTCCCCTTTTTCAAATCCTGTCTGAAAGCCTTCCTTTTCGACCGTGCTTACGATCATCTCCCCCCCGCCGGCTTGGAGTCAGGCTCCGCCACTGTTAAGTGCTCTGAGACACTACCCTGCACGGAGAGCGCTATATAAGTACAAGTTGTTGTCTAATATGAAAACAAATTGGAAGAACACACTTCTGTAATGTGAACAATTATTCTATGTTTATAATGTTTCAACACCAGCATCACTATTATTTGTACAAAGGGTGGATTAAAGGTGTGTAATAGACATTCATACAACAGATTTAAGTGATTGTTTGAGGTGTTTTGTCAAGGAGGGGGACGTCAGTGCTGAGGAATGGCAACTGTAAAATGGTTCAACTCTTAAATACCAAATGAGATTTACTAGTTTGGGTGCCAATTTTGCACTACTGGTGTTTGCCCACTAAGAACTGGCAAGCTCATTTCACGTAGGATGCTTAACCGTAAGAGAGACAATATATTAGTATGTTTGAATTTGAATATAGATTGTAAGACAGTAAATAATGGGGGGGGGGGGGGGGCGTGGGGGGGGAAGGAAAGAGGGGGAGAAGAAGAGAAAAAAAGGGAAAAAACACTGAATCAAGACCATGAGATCATTCAATGTCAAAATTATAAGTTCACAGTATGGGTGTGTAACATACATACTTTTTAGTAGTGATTTCCTTTATCTTCATTACATCTGCTATCATGTCATTGGTAGATGGCAGTTTAATTAACCCTGAAAAGTGGTCAGACAAAGTTAAACTATATTTGCTCAACACAGATAATGAACTTTGCTGTTTACGTTGTAAAGAAAACATGTGTACTATGCTCCATTGGCCATTAATAATTAAAATGAAACCTAGGCAAAGCAGGAAAGTCCAAGGTGAATATAACGGCGACGTGAAAGTCACCATATAAAACACAATTTGTTGTTGTCGTTGGTGGATTTCAGGTGGGAGGGTAGCAGGGCTACTACAATTGGTCTCAGTAAGTCTGTGGGTTGGAGTTCCTTCATGCCTCGGCACCTCCCTACCTCTCCAACCTGCTTACTCCCCAACCCACTGCCTCTGCTCGACTAGCTACAGCCTCCCGCACATCCCTCATGATCTCTGTTCCACCGCCGGTGGCCGTGTTTTCAGCCAATATGCCAATATACACAGGAACAGTGGTTATTTGTACAGTGGGCCAGAGGGCAACTCATAACCATGAGAAATTAACCCACACAATTGAACATCTTCAGAAGTGGAGAAGTTTATAGGGGTTAAAGAAAAAACTATGCACTTAATGTTACTTAACATAAATAACATGTTGATGTCGGATTCACATATTTAGATGAAACAATATTGAAAGCATCATCTATGAATTGCCTACATGTACTGTTGTACTGCATTGCATATAAACAGGCATTGCTCATTAACCTGACAATGCATATTCCCAATGAAAGTAGGTGAGTAATGCATCTGAATACATGGCTGAACCATTTGTTCAGGCTTAGAGATTTATCCTTTAATCCCTTTAACTTTCATACCTTTAAAAACTCTCGTTGCCCCACGTGACTGAAGCTCTGATATTGGCATAACAGCTCCAATCGGCTGGATGTAACCAATAAAGACGAGAGTTGGCTTCTCCAGCTGAGGTGGATAGACATATTTGTAAAGACCAGCGTGGTTGTTCTCAACTTTTACAACCTTCTCATCCAGAAACGGAAAGCGGTAGGTGTATCCTGTTGCAAATATAACCACTTCAATATCTTCCTCCACTGTCCCATCTTCAAAGATAACAGCGGTCTCAGTAAAACGCTTCAAATTTCGTTTCATTAAAACATTTCCCGATTTAATGCAACTTGGTAAGTCATCATTGATCATTGGGCATTCGCTTAAAAACCTGCCAAGAGACATCAGGACAATGTTACAAGTTAAATCCATTTATACATTATGGATTCAAAGTTTTGTTAAGTCACTGACCATCTCTTTGACATCTTCATCAAATATGTGTTGCATTAAATGGAAAGGAACAATGCTTATTAAGCTTTTATTAAAAAAAAGTCTTTTTTGCCAATAGTAAAATCATTTAGTACAATATTGACACGGGGCTTGTGATCAGAAACGAAAATTGAATTGTTTTGGTAAAGTTGTGTGTCTTTATGCTCGTTAGCTAGCATCAAGCAGATTTATAGAACTACAACTGTAATTACATTTTGCTGAGTTGTATAATCTAAGTGTGACAGATGTTCCAGGTAACTGGTATAACTCCAGATAAAAAATTATGAGAAAATATCGGAACGTTGTGCTTGTACGTCAATTGTTGATGTAATGATCCTGTATTATCTTAATCAGAGTCAACCCAGAGTCCAAGGTAACTGATTAAACAAATATCAGCTAGATGAGGGTACGCAGACATGCACAGATCTACTGCTGATGTTTTTCAAAAAGGACTCTAAATAAAATAGTAACTGAGCTAGATTTTGTTCAGTCTGCATGTTCAGCTTTAGCTCTCTGAGTTAGAGAGAGAAAGCGCGACTGCATTCTCTGTTTTTCCAAGAAGGCACTCAATTGTCAATACCGGGAAAAAAAACAGAATATTCCAGCAATATTGGAAGAAAAGACTTTGGTGTTACAAGAATGCAGCTGCAACACGCAAGAGATTCAAAGTACATTATTATCAGCATTCCTAAACAAGAGAAGTTTTATTTACTGCCTTTGATATTGTCATTACAGTGACATGCTATATATGAGCGTAACAGTACAATATTGTCTCTTGTAACGCTATTTATTAAATCAATACAAAATTCAGTCTTTCTACTTTAAGTAAATGAAATATTAAGCATAAAATGACTTTGACAAGACAGAATAGTAAGAATCCTTGCATTTGATATTGCGCCTTATTACATCGTCGAGATGTCTCAAAGTGCTTTACAGAATATATTGTGTATTTATGGGTGAGACACTGCAGCCAATTGCGCACAGCAGTGTCCAAAAAACAATCATGGATTCAGTGACCGAATTTTTCTTTGGGTGGTGGGGTGAGGTTTGGAAAGAAGAGGGATGATTATCTCCAGGAAATGATCTGTCAATCGACTTTCCAACCAGGATCCTACTTACTGAATGGCTCAAAATACATTCATCAATAAAATAATTGGATGAAGAAGCCTTTTTGATCCATTTCATTTTTCCAGGATACCTATCAATCATCTCACCTTTCTTAAGAAAGCACCAAACACTTTCTCAAATGAATGCAAGCAGTTTCTTAAATGGGAAAATATAATTAAACTTGGCATCAACCTGGCAACTCTCCCTCCACACCAAAACTAGGTGGGGCAAAAAAAATTAAAAATCAGTCCATTAATGTCTTGCATCATTTTGTTACGTGCAACACTAGACAACAAAAAACATTTTCAAAATGATAGATTGCTAGATCTTACAGACCTGTGCTCAGGCTCTGGCCCATGGTTATCATGATTGAACAGGAAGTTAAATGTCTTTTTAGCAAACCAGTTGATCAGACACAAAGGTAATACAGTCAGGAGGAAAATTACGAATCGATTGAGAATAACCATGTCCATGGGGGATCCATCTTGTGTAATGCGATGCATAATCCAGGTACCTCTTCTTGAACTGAGAAATACCTACAAGAAAAGGATCTTTGATATGAATGAAATAAGGGCAATAAGTGTCAAAATCTTCCAGAGGGATTGAGAAGACGTCAATTGCTAAAATAGCAAGTTTTTCCAGGAGGGGTTGGAAGAGAGATGGTTGAAAACATAGGTCTCAAATGTGTGTATTTGTGTGTGGCGGGTGGGGGGGGGGGGGGGGGGGGGGGTGTGGGGAGGAGAGGAGAAAGAAAGGAAAACGGACTTTGAAATGGGAGTTCCAGTGTGCAGGGCAGAAATACATTTGCCCACTTAAGGTGGGACAAAAAGGCCACTGAGGCATCTGAAAACGAGGATTAGAACAGTGCTATAAGGAATTGTTATAAGGATTAGCTTGATTTCACTGAAACAGTAGGTTAAGAATGTACTGAAATCAGTAGTTTTGTTCAAACCTCTGAAATGTTTTGAGAGGATAGATAGTGAAAGGCTAATCCCACTGTTAACTAGAAGGCAAAACTCAGGCTCATTACAGGAAGAGTGCAACTAACATAAAGGAACTAACAAAATAGGCTTGACAGAATGAATGACCTCCTTCTGTGCTGTAATTTATATCATTTGGGATTATTTGACTGAAAATGCAAGATGGAAAAGAATACCCAATGCTATGATGCCAATTGACAGCAAGGGAATGTCACTGAAAAACATATTTGTTCATAATAGTGACTAATTTCAAATGGTGCTTACCTTTTTAGCATGCTTGCTAATTTCCACAGCTAAGTCACCTGCCGAGTTTGCAATCCCAACTATGAGCACCTTCTTTCCTTGGAACACTTCGGGTTCCTTGAAATCCTTGCTGTGCATATATTTGCCTCTGAACTTTTCAATACCTGTTTCAAAACAGACAGATTTCAAACTAATGCTACTTTCTAGCTTAGCTCAATATAAAGTGTATCCTGAAGAAAAACAAACATTAGTGATGAAATTCATGAGATTAAATATAATTCTTCTAATTTATTACACAACACTTTGTTGTTACAGATCAATAATTCTGTTTGATGGTATAAATGATGATAGCCGGTTACTTCCTTGCAACAGTTACTTTCTGACCATAGTGCTTTTCCTTTGTACTCAGATGTTATGTTGGATATTGAAAGACTTTATTACATGAATACAATTGTTGACAAACATCCCAGTCTTACCAGAAATACTTTTTACAGAACAAGATGACTTTCATAGCAATTTCCTCCATACATAGTTCAGTTGGTGAATACACCAATTCTCACACTCACCAGGAAAAGAATCGAAAGGTATGTAGGAATCTGTATGGAGACCAGTACAGACCATAACAGCATCAAAAATTTCAGATGCTACTTTGTCATTGCCATCTTTAGTTACAACATCCCACTGTCCACTGGAGGCAAAATCTGCACGCTTCTTCACACTGGTTATAGTGTGCTACAGAAACAGAATGGAGGTGTAACAGGTTAGGAATCTCATTAGTCATTTACTCAATAGATCTAGGATTCTTGGAGATGGAAAAGATAGGTTACCTTGCCTGGCTCACTAACAGAACTTGAAGGGGCAGACCAGGCATGGGATGGCAGAGGGTGGGGGGGGGGGGGAGGAGAAAGGGGAGAAAAAAAAAGTGTTCTTCCCATTTAGCTCCTGCAATCCAAAGAAATAATGGGTAGGTTATTCCCCAATTCGCTACCCGCTGCCTCTGCTGAATTGGCTATACCTGGCAACAGCCCTCTGTGGCAGTCTCGAAAGTCTGGTTCCTGACCGAGGTGGGCCTGCAATATTAAAGGGCACTGCTGATGATGGCTCATCAGAAGGACCTGGAAGGGTAGATGAGTCACTGGGGGCAGGGATTCATCTCGCACAGCTCCTATTAACCCTGCAAGCCAAAGCCCCAACAGGGTGGTCCTAGCTGGAGAAGCAGCGGGAAAGCTTGCCAGACAGCTGTGAGACAAGCTGGTTAATCCAGCAGTACCCCAATGCACACTCTGGGGTCCCTAAGCTTTGGCTCTTGCCAACCTGCACCTAATACTTTCTAGAATTAGGCAAGCAGGATGCATCCCTCCAGGGAGAGAGTGTGCATTCCATTCCGACAATCTATCTCTGGGATTTCCATGTTTAGGTGGGATGCATGAAATTCTCTGCTTGATTTGGATACTCTTATGCATGGTGATGGGTTTCCACGTGTCAGACACTTGGTTGACTAAAAAAAATTGTATAAATAGGGAAAAGGTTTACAAATAAAATGTTGCCCTCGTTTGAAACCTTACCTTGAACCTTATGTACTTTAGCAGGTCAAATTGTTTGGCGTAAAGGCGGTGGTATTCTAAAACCGAATCACTCCGCATATAGAGTGGATAATCTTCGGGGATCGGATAATCACTGAAGCACATGGTCCCTTTAGACACATTGGAAAGCAGTGATTTGTAGAGGCTAGCCCGCTCTGGTGTTACTTCACCCTATTAAAAAATAATTTGAAGATGTTGCAGTGGTTTGTACAATTCTGAAGCGCTGCCATATTTTCAACAACAACAACTTGGGTTTATATAGCGCCCTCCACACCGGACGGCGTCTCAGAGAGCTTTACAGTAACGGATCCCGGGACCGAGCCAGGGGGAGGGGAAGAAAGGTGACCAAAGGTGCGGTCAAAAAGAAAGGTCTTCAGCAGAGATCTGAAAATGGGAAGGGAGGGAGCGAGACGAAGGGAGTGAGGAAGGCAGTTCCGGAGCCTCGGGGCATAGTGGCTGAAGGCACGGCCGCCGAGGGTGGAGCGGAGGACTTGGGGAATGAGGAGGAGGCCAGACCCAGAGGAACGAAGGCACAGGTACTGTTTTGAGGAGAGAGGTCAGAGAGGTAGGGGAGTGCAGAGGAATGCAGGGACTTGAATATGCGGGTGAGGATCTTGAAGTCGATCCTCTCTGGGACAGGCAGTCAATGCAGTCTGGCAAGGACTGGGGTGATCGGGGAGCGGAGTTTGGTGCGGGTGAGAATGCGGGCGGCAGAGTTTTGAATGATCTGGATTTTATAGATGGTAGTGGATGGGAGACCGGCGAGGAGGGTGCTAGAATAGTCCAGCTGAGAGGTGACAAAGGCACAGACTAGGGTTTCAGCGGCTTTCGGAGAGCGGTATTGGCGGAGGTGGGCAATGCGTCGGAGGTGGAAGAAGGCGGTACTGGTGAGGGACCGAATGTGGGGGAGGAAGGATAATTGGGGGTCGAACCTGATGCCTAAGTTGCGTACGGGTTCGGAGAGTTTTCGGGGGAGGTCGGGTAGGTGGAGGAAGTGAGAGCCATGAGATTTTAGACGTTGACGAGAGCCAAAGAGTATGGTTTCCGTCTTGTCAACGTTCAGCTGAAGGAAATTTGTGCTCATCCAGCCCCTGAGATCTGACAGGCATGCTGACAGAACATCAGGGGACTGGGAGTCGCAAAGAGAGGTGGAAAAATAGAGTTGGGTGTCGTCCGTGTACATGTGGAAATGTATCCCATGTCTGCGGATGAAATCCCTAAGAGGGAGCATGTAGATCAGAAAGAGGAGGATGCCAAGGATGGATCCTTGGGGTACTCCGCAGGTGACCGGGTGAGAGCGGGAGGAGAAGCCGTTTGTGCAGATGTACTACTGGTGGTTTGTGAGGTAGGACTCGAACCAGGCGAGTGTGGTCCCACTGAAGTGGATGACGGAGGAAAGGCGGTGGAGGAGGATGGCGTGATCGACTGTGTCGAACGCGGCGGAGAGGTCCAGGAGGACAAGGAGGTAGAGGGAGCCCTGGTCAGAGATAGAGAGGATGTTATTTGTGACTTTCACAAACGCAGTCTCTGTACTGTGGCCAGGGCGGAAACCGGACTGGAGGGGTTCAAAGAGGGAATGGGAGGAGAGGTGTACGCGAAGTTGGTTGGCAACAATGCATTCTAGACCTTTTGAGAGGAAGGGCAGGTTAGAAATAGGGTGGTAGAAGCTATTTGGGCAATGAGTATGCAAAGTTACTGAAAGCCCATCTCCCACTGGTTAATGAAAACGATATTAACCAGTGAGCACACTGACTTGCAATTCATTGGCATTCAGCTCCGTGAGCTTCAGAGGTTATTTCTGCTGATCAAGCCAAATAAAAGTTTATAAACCAGAACATACCTGATAATTCCAAAGGCCCCCAATATCACCAAACCTCTCAAAGCAGATAGGTTCCAAGCCTTCATCCAAACAGCTCTTTATGGCCACGAGCCCACTGGTACCGGCCCCAATTATGGCAACACGCTTCACCATGGTGATCTAACAAGACAAGACACAAAGTCTCCAAAACCATGGCAAAAGGTTATCCCCCACCCCTCAAAGGGCTCCAGTTACTTCTGCTGGTAGCGTATTGGTTATAGCACTCACCTCACAAGCAAGAGGACCTGTTTTCACTTGTGGGCGATGACCTGAAATCAAAGTAGTCCTTCACAATCTACTTGCAGTTGTTTTTGATAACTGTACAACTTTGTGTTTTGCTAGTAATTAAAAGTAAAGACAAACCAATTATTTAACCAGCCAGAGTATGGGTCAAATACATTAGACATCAGGAGGCTCAATTCGAAAGCAAAGTTCTTTCACAAAGTTCTTTAACTTTCACCTGTCTCCATGAACCCAAAGTCAGGATGCACAGAAAAAAATGTTAGTTCTGCTCACAACTTCTTTCGTTCCAAAGGACAAAATGTCCAACAATGCAGCAATGCACTGGAGTGTCAGCCTAGATTGTCAGCTCAAAGTCCCAGTGTGGGTCTTGAGAGGAGAGAGTATTACCAACTGAGCCAGGCTGACACTCTAAACTCAGATTGTTGTAACAGCACAAATGATGCAGAGATTGCTAAATTCCATACAATTTTTTGATTAGAATCAGTTTGCAAATGTTCCACATCCCATCCTTCACTTTGCAATTTCCAATCTCTCATGCTTCCAAACCCAGAAATCCCAATGTATTAATCTATTAATTTACAACAAATTACTTATTACAATTGTCTCAAATCCACAATAGGCTTTACATGAGAAATTTTCTGGGACTTAAGACTGTTGTTACAATACTGTTTGCCTCTCATAATCCCACGACCGCACCTATTCCATTTTTTAGAATCCTGTTTGCCCGCGCACATTTGAAACTGGCTTTTCCATCCCCCACCCTGCACCAGCTCAATTACTCAATTAGTTGTGTAAAGCGCTTTGAGGCAGTGTAATTAATGGTTGTATTCCTATTCGTTAGCAATTTGAAGGTGTGAGGTGGATTTGGACAGTTGTGTTGTGGAGGACGACGCAATATCTGGGTTTTCCATTTTGACATCTCTCTTCCCAGTGGCTTAATTTCAAGATAATTGACCAAACTGTCAATTACATTCCAAATCCTTACCAAACCCTACCTCTGATCGAATGCAACTCAACTCCCCTCTAACGCATTTGAGCATCAATGGGTCAGTATCTCGGAGCGATTAACAGTGGCAGAGACTGATGCCAAGCAAGGGGAAGGTGACCGCAAGCACTGTTGCAGAGGAAGGTCTTTAGCCGTGATATAAAATAGGGGAAGGCGAGGATAAGGTGGAAGGATTGTGGGAGAGAGTTCCAAAGCATCGAGGCGTTGTGGCTGAAAGCCCAGCCGTTGATATTGCAACAGAGGGAACGAGGGACAAGCAGGAAGCCAGAGCTAGCCGAACGGAGGGAAATTTTATTTTAAGGTAGTGGGTATAAGGGATTATTTACCCTAAAAGCAATCCACTAATCAAATAACTGAATTCCTACTTACTGCTAGGCAAAAAATATGGAGTAAGGAAACTTGCCTAAGGTTTCGCCCTGCCCAAGAATGTAACCCAGGTCCTCTCACTTGCAAGGTGAGTTCTCTAAAAACTATACTATGGGAATCCATATATACTCCCAGTATATGCTGCAAAGCACTTTGAAACGTCCTTCCAACATGAAATGCACTATATCAAATGTAAGAATGTTTTTTATTACTACTATTTGAAATTAAATAAATGATTTAAAATTTCCATTAAAAGCGTATATAATTCATTTTGAATCAGGCCAATTCAATGCACATGCAGTTTTTTTTAAAAAACGACATTACAAGTGACTACACTTACAAAGATTTACTGTAATTCAAGATAAAGTCTGAATTCAATTAAAAAGAAACGCATAATAATTACATTTTATAATCAATAGCCCACCCTGAAACAACAACTTAAAGACAAAATAACTTAATTCCCTTAAAATGCCCTTATTTCTGAACCTTTTTAAATTCATCTAAATAACTCTTCCAATTTGTGTTAGTGGACATTAACTACTACACAAAACTGTTTCAACCCCATTACAATCTGCAAATGGCTCTATGCACTTGTTTTTCCAATCAGATATATTGATCAGATCATATATAAAAAAAACCTTCCTCTTGCCTCATGGAAAAAAAATCACATCCAGAAAAAAAATGCAACTGCTTCAACATTACAAATAGTACCTGTTAACTTGGCTTCTTTTTTCTCACTCTCCTCTCAAACTTCCTGCTCAGATCTCCAGTGGGTGAACGGTCCACCTCTACAAGCAATTCCTGTGATTGCCTTATAAATGCAGTCTGGTTGATTATTCACTTGTTGACCCAAAATTTTTTTTTGTATGTGGTAACAAGATACCAATTTACCATAAACATCCTGGAGCAAGTATCTCATTACTTTTCTGTAAAGCATGTTGGGTCACGAACATATTTTTCTGACTTAATACAGTAAAGAGAACTTTGCTGGCAAAAGAAAATTGAGATAAGCAATTCATACTAAATTGTAGATTGATACTAAAAAATGTATGGTTGACACCTGAATTTATTGCACTACCAATAAAGTGAAAAAATTTCAGATGGCAGTAAAATGTACCTCTCAATAGCACCTACCAACCTCCACACCCTGCAAATTTGTCAAATTCCTAGCAATTTTCAGCAAATTTTTCCACAATTTTCTATAGGCTCTGGAAATGACCAACTAGAAACTCCAGGGGAGAGAGAGAAGAGAGGAAGTTACTTGGCTCTCAGGTGACATACTTAGCAACATAATATTGGATTTGAGTCAATCCACAGTCTTGGTATCTAGTTCAGCTCTTGAGCAAGGTTGCACCAAGGCACTCCTATGATAGACCAGTCAACTTGGTTAATTAGCAGGACTTAGAGGGGTAAATCAGAAAGGAAATAGGGATTCTTTCTATCTGACTTTCATTAACCCTATAAGCTGAAGCTCAAACAGGTAGGGTGGTTATGGCTGTTCAAATAAAGTCTAACTTCCTAGACAATGCTCTCAATGGCTAGTTAAGTTTAGCTTGTTATATTCCAGCACTATCTGACAAATCTGCTTTTCTGGTTTGTTGGCAAATTCTGAAACACAACTCTGATAAGATTAGATATCATTTGACCTCATACTTCCCTACAGTTTACTCTTTGTTTGTCTAAAATGTATTTATTTATTATAATTAATTTATTTGCTACCCTACTTGGAGGGTGTTATATAGGTGCAAATTGTTGTTTGTTATCTTTGCCATGAAACTGATGAAATGCAAATTCTCCAAGACCAGTTCCTGGGGCAGGGTGACCAGTCATTGGGGGCAGGGATTCTTCCCACTCAGTTCATGTCAACCCTGCAAAACAAAGCCCTAACTGGTAGGGTGATCCTAGCTGGACAAGCAGTGCACTCATTGGCAAGTTCTACAGTTTTAGCTGGTTAGACCCCAGCTGTACTCCCAAGATACACTCTTGAGGTGCCCAAGCCTTGGCTCTTGCCAACCTGCACCAAATACTTACTGGAAGTTGGATGCATCCCTCCACGGAGATCGCGACTGTTCCATTCTAACAAATATCTCTGCAATTTCAATGTATAGGTGGGATACATGGAATTCTGTTTGGATATTCTTAATCAAGCATGTCAGACATCCAGCCAATACCCCAAAAAATCCTTACATTTAGTATAACACTTTTTATGTTGGGAGGACATCTCAAAGCACATTTCCAGAATTTACTGTCATAACTGTGTGTCTTTTGGGCCAAACTGACAGCTTGGCTCAGTTGATCATAAACTGCACAGTTTTGGGCACTGGAAATAAGGGGGCTGCCCAGGCCTGGAGGACAGCAATGATCCCCAGTGTTGCAGGCATGAGCTATGAGCAGGGCCAATAGAAAGTTGTGGAAATTTAACAAATTTTGGCAAATATTTGACAAATCTTATGGGGAATTGATTAGTGTTATTGAGAGGTAGATTTTTAAAACCAACATTGTAAAAATTTTTTCACTTTATTGATAAAGACTAAACTTGAAGAAATAATGTACATTAGATTGTTGCAAAAAAAAATGAATGCTTTCTTCAACAAAAGCTGGGTGGCCCATTGGGGGAGGGAGGCCCACGAGTCCAGTCTTGAAGGCCGAATGGTCCATTTCCACCCTGTACAGCATTTGAAGGCTTGTGTCCTGACTGCGGGTCTCCAGGAGGTCACTATCTCCTGCCTCTCGGGGCCCACCACCGCAGATTTAGAAACAACAACAAGATTCCATTTATAAAGCACCTTTCACGTCGGGAGGACGTCCCAAGGCCCTGGACAGTTGAGTCAGGACCCGAGCAGGGGGGAAATGGTCAGGGTGAGGGGAGGGAAGGGAGGGAGCGAGGAGGGGGTAGAGAGTCGAGAGGGGAGCTGAAGGCACGGTCAAAGAGAAAGGTCTTGAGACCGGCCTTGAAGGAGGAAAGGGAGGAGGCAAGGCAAAGGCACTGGGGATGGAGTTCCAGAGCCTAGGGGCTGAGAGGCTGAAGGCCCGGCCACCGATGGTAGGGCGGTTGGGGAGGGGGATGTGGAGCAGACCGGAGCCAGAGGAATGGAGGGTACAGGCAGGTAGGTAGGGGGGATAGTAGGTCGGAGAGGTAGGAGGGAGGTGATGGAAGGCGGTGCCAGTTGTGGCGCGGATATGAGGAAGAAAGGACAGCTCAAGGTCAAACAGAACACCGAGGTTCTTGACCGGCTTTGAGAGGTGGAGAGTGCAGCCTTGGATGCTGATGCTGTTAGCGCCTGAAGTGCGGAGGCGCTGACGTGAGCCAATCAGGAGGGCCTCAGTTTTGCGCACGTTGAGCTGAAGAAAGTTGTCTCTCGTCCAGGAATTGATGTCGGACAGGCAGGCTGTCAGGACATCGGTGGTCGTGGAGTTGAGGGTAGAAGAGGAAAGGTAGAGTTGGGTGTCATCCGCATACATGTGGAAGTTAACTTCATGTCTGCGGATGATGTCACCAAGGGGGAGCATATAGAGGGTGAAGAGGAGGGGACCGAGGACAGAGCCCTGAGGGACACCGCACGAGACAGTACGGGGGCTGGAGTTTTGTTGTGGAAACAAAATGAAGACGGTGGGAGAGATAGGACCTAAACCACTCAAGGACAGGGCCTTGAAGGTTGAGGTGGGAGGACAAGCGGTGGAGGAGGATAGCGTGGTCGACCGTATCGAATGCTGCCGATAGGTCGAGGACAAGGAGGCAGAGGGAGCCCTGGTCACAGATGGTCAAAATGTCATTGGTGACCTTGACCAGGGCGGTTTCTGTACTATGGGCAGCACGGAAACCCGACTGAAGGGGTTTGAATAATGCATGGGTGGAGAGGAAAGAGCGCAGCTGGGAGGCGACAACTCTTTCAAGGACCTTAGACAGGAGGGGGAGGTTGGAGATGGGCCGGTAGTTTGATAGCTGCGATGCATCAAGGGAGGGTTTTATCAAAGTGGGAGTGATGATGGCAGTTTTTAGGGGAGTGGGAACAGAGCCAGAGGAGAGGGACAGGTTGATGATGTATGATAAGTGGGGCAAGGAGGTGGAGCTGAGAGATAAGGAGTGGAGTGGGGATGGGGTCAAGGGAGCAGGTGGTGGGTTTCAGGGACAGGATGAGTTTGGTGACAGAGGGTGGGGAAACGGGTTAAAAGGTGTGTAGGGGAGGATGGGTAGCAGTCGGAGTGTGGGAGGGAAGGGGTGGGGGGTGGGTGGAAGTTGGAGGGGGAATGACCGCGGAGCGGATTCCCTTGATTTTGGATTCAAGGAAATCCAGCATCTCCTTGCAGTGAAGGTTGGAGATGACCTGCATGGGGTGGCGGGGGGACGGAGGAGTCGGGATGTGGTAGAAAACCGAAGCCTGGGGTTGTTCTTCGCCTCCAGGATTATCCTGGAGTAGAAGGACGACTTGACCGAGGCTAGAGTGGAGCGGTAGATTTAGGGTTAGAGTAGGAGTCAGTACAGGGAGGTGATGGGGGCAAGAGTGTCGAGTGTGGAGGAGAGGGTGTTGTGGAGGAGGGTGAGAGCAGGAGAAAGACACACACTCACAGACACTGACTCACACTCAGAGACACACACTTACTCAGAGACATACACAGAGACAAAGTTACAGAGATACACATACAGAGGAAAAACACACAGACGATCACAACAGCGGGGCCTGAGCGTGAGCGAAGCCCATTTCCTGCCCGCACCGTGCAAGGCTCTTCCAGAGGCGCTCCGCCCACAGTAGCGGCGCCGAACAAACATACTCAGACACCGCACGCAGAGACCCGGGGCCAAGTGCGCTGCATTTTTGCAGGTTTGCAGCGGAAGGGGAGCGTTTGTAGCGGAGGGGAGTGTGTGTGTGCGGCGGATTCCGTGGAAAAATTGCAGCCGCACTTTTCCATTGGCCCAGGCTGTGAGCAACGATTACAAGCTAGGGCTCTTTTAGTCTTGAAATACACTGCAGAAGGGGACCGTATAGAAGTCTATAAAATAGAGAGTAGAACAAGAGGACTTGGGTTTTGAGTTCCGTGAGACCGATATCAGGAAGTTGTTACTTTTTAACCCACAGAGCAATTATTTACAACAGATTACAAGGAAGTGTCATTGAGGCTGGCCTGAAAGGCACTATTTAAATGCAATTTGTTGTTTTTGTTGCAATGAAGTATCAGTTTCCAAATTTGTACAAAGATAACAATATTTTCGTCCCAAAGTCATTTCAGTGCAGAAATACAAATTATTTACTACTTCAGTAAACTTGGAATTTTAAATATTTTTTATAAACAGACTGAAGTTTATCCACACAAATAATATTATTTTGACAGAAAATGACACAAATTATGGAGTGTGGAGGAACAACAAAAAAATACTGTTTGCACACACACCACACATTTATTGTAGAAAATAATTTATGAATCACAAAATATTTGAATACAATTGTACAATTGTAATATTTCCCCTCACAAACTGGAATAGAATCTGTGGCAGATGTGTGAACTTATTACAACACTAGATTATTTTTTGAAGACAGAAAATCAAACACACAATTACCTATAATCTTAACAGTAGCTGGAACAAGTTGCATTGAAATATTTGGGGAAAAAGGTCTTGAATATCCCCTTGATTACTGTAATATTTCCAACATCCATTTTCATAAAAAAATTTATGGCAGCTGTCAAAATTAAATGCATCTGCTCTACTTTGCTGAAAAGCTGTGACAGTGCCATTACAAAATGCTGATGAACAGGCATTGATGTTACAACACTTACTATACACTAATCCAACAAAATAAAAATAGGAATCCCTACCAAATCCAGAATGCTCTCATAAAAGATTTGAAAAGACGGATAAACATTTCTTTATTTCTTATGCATACTGAGCGATCAGCTTGGTTTCAAGGAATGCATCAATTCACGTTTGTACTAAATACATTTGAAAGTACTTTCTGCTCAGATAAGGTCTTCAAAGTGTATCTATTATGGTTTGGGAATCTTTCTTGATGAAGGAATGAATATGGAAATGTTCAACACAAGTTAAAGATGACCTCTCCAATGCATTTAATTCCCTGCCTAATTTTTTTTTGTCAGAACATTATAAATGGGTATGCTAAACACAATTCAAAGGCATTAACCTTTGCTTATTGGGGCACAATCTCATTAACCAAACATCAATGGTTAGGGGCCCTTTATTTTGCGCAAGAATATTGTATCAAAGATTCACCTATACATGTCTATGTCAATCCTTATATTATTGAGCTCCCATTGACTGAAAAACTGGCCTTTAAGTGGTTCAGTGTGGCCATTACATAATTAATGTTTGTTCTCTGTGCTAACAAGTGAGGACATTAGAGACTAAATGGGTCGTACATGATCAGGTCAGTTATTCAACTGCCCTGGTGAGACTGCAGGGGACGTAGGGAATGTACAGTGATGGTGGTCCTTTCTCTCACTAGATTGAAAATGCCAGATCCAGTGAGGAAGGACAAAAATGCTACTTTTCTGGGCTAAAAGAATTATATTGTCATCTTGGAGTAGAATGCCTAGATTACCAATCTGTTTGTTACCAACTGAGGGTAGTAAGGATTATTAACAAATCTAATTTTGAAAGCTGTAAATTATCATGAAAAAGGATAAGGAATATTCACACAATTTGCATTACAATAAAACTCCCACTTATCGATATTTTCAATAAGATTAGCCAAATTCCCCAAATTTATGCAACGCTCCATACAACTTTATCAACACTTCTTAACTACTGGTTACGAATAGCCACAAAAGCATCTCGTACTCAATTTAATTCTATTTGTGCACAAATATTTAAATTATTCACAAGTATTGTTTATAACTCAATACCTTTGCATTATGGTACTGCTCAACATTTTAATAGTGCAACTTTTTCACCTTATTTTTCACTCTAATATTACAAAGCATATTTTTTCAGCAGGTACTGTATTTGAACCTTTCAGCTCCTATACCGGTTAGTTTCAACCATGCTGAAAGCTGGTGAACCTAGTACAAGTCAAAGTATCAGTGTCCCATAGCTTTGCTGCTTATTTTTAAAGAGATACAATTTTAAGATTCAAGTGATCTAATTTGTACGTGATCAATAATTTTGGCTCAATATAGCACAAAAGAGCTCTTCACTCCAGTAGGACATTTCAACACAAGAGTCTACAGTACTTTATTCTGGCAATGAATACTGCCAAAGATATTTACTTAAACAGAGATATAAAAAATCCAGTTGATTTTTATACAATTGGCAGAAGCACAGTACAGGGTGTCCACAAAGTCATGTTACACCCATGGTGCTTTTTTTTCTACAGTGCACCTACCAACAACTGAAATGTGTGGAAGAATGATGATAATTGTATTTAGAAGTACTTGATTGTATTCAGTACAAGTGTTTTAACTGTATTTAGACCTCCAGAGGATAACGATAATAATCCTTGCATTTGATATAGTGCCCTATCATGTCATCTAGACGTCTCAAAGCACTTCACAGAATATACTGGAAAGTGAATTGAATCTGTTGTAGGTGAAATGCGGCAGACAATTGCGCAAAGCAGTGTCCCATAAACAGTCCTGGATTGAATTTTTTGAAGACCTGATTATCCCCAGAAAAGTGATCCGACAATCGACTAACAACTGGGTGCCTATTTACTGCTAGGTAAACAGAGGCATGTGGAGGAAGGAAATTTACCCAATGTTTCGCCCTGCTGGGAATCGAACCCAGGTCCTCTTGATTACGAGGCAAGTGCTCTAACCACTAAGCTAAGGGACTCCACATGACGGTGTGATTTTCATGGCAGATAATGTTCGGTGAGACATCTTCTTCTTTACAGCGATTTCAGCGCCTCCGTAGTCTCATATAACTGTTTTGAAAAAAGGGATGGGGGGTGGTGGGGGTAAAAGGACTTTGTGGACAACCTGGATTATATTTTACAAACAGTATTTTTTGGTGGGTGTAGGTGGATTTTTTGACAAATTTGTTTTATTTTTGGAACATACAGTATATGTTAAAGGCAATAATTTACTTGCCCCTGGTATTGGATGCTCATGCAGTACATATGCTCTGTAAGCTGGGAAATTACAGACCCACGAAAACAGAGACATTGAAATCTGAGAGCAGATCATGCTTTCTTGAAGGAGTGAAAGAGGCACACAATCAAAAATGAGACAGAAGCCAAATAAATGTACATTTCCTGCACAAAGATAACATAACATGTGCCAACCTCACCCCTTACTTTATTATGCACTCTGAGATCATACAGAATGGAGAACAAAGTCACGCCATGTTTTTGTAATCCAAGATCAATAAAATACTGCCAACAAATGTAGATAAAGAATACCAGTGCATTCATTGCATGTTCAGAGAGTGAGAGGGGAAGTTTGGAGGGTGGTTCTTTGAATTTGCTGCTGTTGAATATCCATTTACACATAGAATATGGATTCTGGAAGGTCATATCTATATTACGCCCATTATTTAAAAGAATGTCAAACTAAACAGGGCCCGGAAATTGTGCACGTCAGCAAATACACCCTTCTGGTTTCTTGTAAATCCCTATTTTTAAATAAAAAGTTTTAGTTGGGTTAGTATGCTCCTGGGTCTTAGTAATAGGATAGTGTAAATAAGTGGAACAAAAGGTTTCCTCCTTCTGAAAGAATTAAGGTACCAAAGTGAATTAATTCAAAGAAGCCTTCAAGTGGAAAGGAATCCACATAGGAAAATTACTCGAGTTCATACATTTTACAGTTCTTGACTAAAAGCCATACGGATGGAATGTAAGAAGTGGAAATGTTGTGTTAGTACAGTAGTGAAGATAGTGCCCTGATGTTAACATTGAGGTGTTTGGAAAAGAGCATAAACCAACACTAAACCAAACCCTAAAAGTAGAACACTCACCAAACTCCAACACGTCACTGTTCACATTGATGATCCCACACATTAAGGAAAGAATACAAAGTAGAAAGAAGGTTGTTTGGTGATCTGAATTTTGGCAGTTTTCAACATTAAAGGCCCCATAAAATAAGATACTGTCACAAACTCAGAAAATTTGATAATATGAAATATGACTTTCACAATATGAAATAATTGCATTGTAATCCTATAATCTACAGATCAATTTTTCACAGTAGGTATATTATGCTTGATCACATAATTATTCATACGTCTTTAAAGCTAATATTATTTAAATCTGCACAATTCCAAAAGTCTCTGCAGATTAGCAGATGATAACCACATATACTCCACCAGACTGTATTGCAGATATCCCATGATAAAACCACAAACTACATCAGTCACATTGTGTCTTCCGAGCATCACTCGTGAGAGTCCCACGATAAACACCCACAGCACGACCAGAATACGCAGCGGGACTGCTAGAACCAAGTGGTTAAGGAAGAATCGGCCTCCCATTGCTGCCCTGGTCGCATGGCCTGACGGGAAGGAGAATCTGTCCACTGAAAACGTGGCAAACATGTCCATTTTGTTGTGTGTAGGCCGACGCCTGCGGACCAGTGATTTAACAATGCCGACTAGGATCAGATCTAGGATCAAAGCTAAAGAGGGAAATAAATGGATTACTACACATTTAAAACCATCAAACTCTACAGCAGAACGTAAAAACATGTACATAGAGGTTCGTTTCTCCCCCCCACCCTCCTCCACGTACACATCTGACAGATTGACTGACTTTGATGCATTATGATTCCAGTTACAAAGCTGGAGATAATTTATGTTTGCGTCTCTACAATATACAGTTAAAAAAAAGCTTTCATTATACTTGCAAGAAAGATATGTGCAACTTCACTGTCTAAACAAACCTACTGCATGGTGAAGCAGCATCACTGTGGGAGAACCCTGTAAAGAATTCTTCACTCAAATTAAAGCCGTGTTTCCACGCCTATGTGTGGAATACCAGACATAATCTGTGCCACATGTTTGATGAACAAAGACGGGCAGAATCATTATTTGAAAGAAAATATTTAATTCACTTCACTTCAAAATGCTTAATTTCAGAATTTTATCTAATGCTGAAAAGATCACGGGGATAAAGAACGATACATGTTAAACTGGGAAAATGAGGCTCTGGGCCACTATCAAATAATAATACTTACATTTAATATAGTGCCTTATCACGTCTTCGAGACATCTCAAAGCGCTTCACAGAATATATTGTAAAGTGAATTAACTATATTTGTGGGCAAAATGCGGCAGCCAAATTGTGCACAGCAGTGTCCCACAAACAGTCGTGTTTTGAAAAGACCAACTTATTATTGCTTTTTTTGAGGGATTATTATCAGGCATGTGGAGTAAGGAAACTTGCCCAAGGGTTCACCCTGCTGTTTAATTCCATGATCTTTAGTGACTCCAATATTCGGCCAGGTAAGATCAGCTACATCAAGAGATGAACCTGGGACATATAATAAATTACTAATATTACTTGGGGGATTGTTGGCCAGGACACCAGGAAAAACTATAAAAGCTCAAGACCTTTGCCCAGCTCAGGGGCAGTTAATCAGTTCAGATTATCTGCCTCTGAGCATGCATATTTTTATAAATGAAAGTGCTCCATCTAGCAACCTTTGACGGTTTGTTCCAATGTACTGATAACTAATTAAATGCATATCACGGTTACTCCATCAGGATTAACGTTCACAGAATCATAGAATTATACAGCACAGAAAGAGGCCATTCGACACAGCTGTTTCGGCTCTTTGAAAAGAGTTACCCAAATCAATCCCACTCCCCCGCTATCTTCCCATAGCCCTGCAAACGTCCTCCCCAAATAATTATCTATAAGCTCTGCCATTTATAATCACTGGAATATTTTAACTTTAGTTATCTACCAAGAACCTCTTAATAGCAATAAGTGATATTGTTTAAGTGTTTTGTTTTTAAGGAGCTGATTCACAAGGTCCTTCACAAATAGTTTGAGAACATAACACTCACTGCAGTTGTTTCCAAACAAGCACTAAAAAAGTTGGGGAAATTAAAATACGAGTCTGACAACATCTATGGTGAAAATGTCACTATTTGACATTTTCAACAAAACATTTGAGTTTCTTCCCTTGTTTGTTATCCTCTAGAAGACCTGAAAAGTGCTATATCAAATGCAAGGATTATTATATTATTAATCGATTAAGCGCAGTACCTGCATCCTGAACAACATGCACCACTACTTTGAAGATCGTTTTTTTTTCAAACCTCCATTACTTTAGAAAACCATTGAGCTGTAATTTGTATTGTTCAATGGAAAACCTCTCTGTTTTTTTCCCCAAACATTCACCAAAGTCACAGGGGTAGTGATTACATTTGCTATAAAAATAGAAATACTTTTGATTGTGTGAAATCAGTAAAGGAATTAAAAGGGCCTAAAAGCTTGTGTAAGAGAATAGTATTGTTAGGCACACATTTGTAATATAAAATAATGATCTTACTACCAGTTAACAGAAACTCATGAAATAAAAGCAAACTTTATAACAAAGATTAATCATCTGGAGATGGAGGATGCAAAGATACTAAAATAATGTGGGCTTCGACAGATTGATATAGCAGGGAAATTAAGTTTCATCAAATCAGCCTAGTAGGATACGTTAAGGAAGCTTTTGTCTCATCTCCTCTCCTGCAAACTATCACGGATTATTAAAAGGCAACTGTAAAACCTAAATAAAAAAAAAGTGTTTAAGACTAGACAACCAGTTAATATAATTGAATATGTGCCTAATGCACATGTTTCATTTTACTAACATTAAAATGACTAATCTAAATGTTAATTTACTAACATTAAAATGACTAAAATGACTGCTATGCGCAGTATACATGTTTAATATCGGGCTACTTTTGGGACTAGTATTTAATAGTAATCCTTGCATTTGATATAATAATAATCCTTGCATTTGGTATAGCGCTTTTCACGTCGGGAGGACGTCCCAAAGCGCTTCACAGATCACACTGTAAAGTGAATTGACTGTATATTTGTGGGCGAACGCGGCAGCCAATTGCGCACAGCAATGTCCCACAAACAGCCGTGGATTGAAAATGACCAATTTATTATTGTTTTTGGTTTTGGAGGGATTATTATTAGGCTCTGTGTGGAGTAAGGAAACTTGCCCAAGGTTTCGCCCTGCCTGGAATTGAACTCAGGTCTCTCGCTTGCAAAGCGAGTGCTCTAACCACTGAGCGACAGGACTCCAGTGCCTTATCATGCTGTGGAGAGATCTCAATACACTTCACAGTATATACTGTAAAGTGGGGAGACTGTGAAGCATATTATTTTTTTCCGATTCATTATTTAGTTGACTTTGGTCTAAGAATATTTAATAACCTTGACTGAGGATTTTGCGGGTGAACCACGGCAGCCATTTGGCAACAGCATTGATCCCACAAACAGCTTTGGAGTGAACGGCCAACTTTATTTTGGCCAGCACAAACCCCCTTCTCCTTTTAATCGTGCCGCGGGACCCTTAAACACCTACCTGCATGGCTGGGCGGGAACTGGGTTTAACATTTCATCCGAAGGATGGCACGTTCCGACAATGCAACACGCCTTCCAGCGCCGCACTGTGGAGTCCTTATTATTATTATTATATGGAATCGCATCTTCTTAAGTTGACATTCTGCTAATAATAATAATTAATAATTATTATTATTATTAGCAGAATGTCAACTTAAGACGATGCGATTCCAAGTCCTGAGGTGGGGCTTGAAGCCCGCAACCTTGCGACTCAAAGAGGCGAGAGCGCTCCCAACTGAGCCAGGCTGAAAAAATAATAATCCTTTGCGCTTGAGATAAGGCGCCTCACTTCATCAGGTCAGCCTGGTGCCTTCACAGCGCTTCACAGAACCCACCGTAAAGTGAAGTGACCGTATTTTGCGGGGCAGCCAATTGCCCGCAGCGGCTCCCCCGCAAAACAGCCACGAACTGAGTGATCCAAACGTTGCGACCATTATTACTGTCTCTCCCCCCCCTCCCCTCCACCTCTCTCCCCCTCCTCTCTCCCCCCCCCTCTCTCCCCCCTCCTCTTCTCCCCCTCTCCCCCCCTTCTCTCCCCCTCCCTCCCCCTCACCTCCTCCTCTCCCCCTCCCTCCCTCTCTCCCCCTCCCTCCCCTTCTCTCCCCTCCTCCTCTCCCCCTCCCCTCCTCCTCTCACCCCCTCCTCCTCTCACCCCCCCTCCTCTCACCCCCCCTCTCCTCCTCTCCCCCTCCCCTCCTCCTCTCACCCCCCCTCCTCTCTCTCCCCTCCTCACCCCCCCTCCCCTCCTCACCCCCCTCCTCCTCCTCTCCCCCCCTCCTCCTCCTCTCCCCCCTCCCCCCTCCCCCCCCCCCCCCCTCGGTCACCCTCACCCACCCAGCAGCAGGTTGAGCAGCACCTCCTGTCCGGCCGCGCTGTCGCTCTTGTACAGGCTGTACAGGGTGCCTCCGATCCAGGGCAGGCCGTGGCCCGACACCTCGATCAGCTTCATGATGGGCCTGGCGCTGCCCCACGACGACTCCTCGGTGGCGCACACGCCCAGCCGCTTGGACATCCACAGGTCGATGGCCAGCAGCGAGCGCAGGGCGATGCCCAGCAGCGACGGGTTCAGCTTCATGCAGTCCTCCTCGGGCAGGCAGGCGGCTGAGCCGGCGCCGGAGGACGAGCCCGAGTCCCGGCGGAGGCCGAGGCTGTGCCCGTCCAACTGGGCCGCCCCCGCCCCCCGGTGCCGGGGCGAGGAGGGCTCCGAGGCCGCTTTCTGCATCAGCGGCCTGTTCAGCGCCATGAACTCCAGCCTCCCGCCGCCGCCGCCACCGCCGCCGCCGCTCGGGTCTCGGCTCCTGCTTTTCGGGGAGTGAGCCGGCATGGCTGCCGCGGGGCCCGGGGCTCAGGGGATAACGAGAGACACCGACACAAGAGCCGCCGCCGCCGCTACAGCGCCACCTGCAGGCCCGGCGGCCTCCTGGGGAGGGACGGCCCCCTCGCCCCGCCCCTCGCCTGTCACTCAACAACGACAGCCGCCACTGCAACAACAACGACAACAACAACAACAACAAAATTACCTTTCATCATCATCATCATCATCATCATAATCCTCCTCGTTGCATTCGTTACAGCGCCTTATCACGTCGTCGAGACGTCTCGAGGCGCTGCGCAGGATCGACCGGGAAAACTGACATGACAGTTAACTTGGTCAATTCGATCCGCCACTGTTTGCGAGGACGCTGCCGTGCGCCATTGGCCGCCGCGTTTCGCCCACAAAATATACTTTCGGCTCACTTTAGAGTATTTCGGACCGGTATTTCAATAACTTCGGACCGTGACAGCTCACCTTCCCTCTCTTCTGTGACCGTAACCACATCATCTGGGTCCCAGACACATCTTTTCCCTCTCTGGTCTGCCTGTTTTGTTGTGATTTCGCCCTTTGTTTTGCATCATTAACAGCTCTTTAACCCATCATCCCCTGTCCTCTGCCCCATTTTCTCCTTTATCTTCCTTGTCCTGCCTTCCCCCCCCCTCTCTGTTAATCCTTAAAAGCTTCTCCCTCCCAACGTGCCTCAGTTCTGACAAAGGGTCGTGGACCCGAAACGTTGACTCACTTTCCTTTCTCCATAGATGCTGCCTGACCTGCTGAGTGTTCCCAGCCACTTCTGTTTTTGTTGCAGTATATTCTGTGAAGCGCTTTGAGATGTTACGAAGATGTGATAAGGCACTTTATCAAATACAAGGATTATTATTATTACTGTACTGTAAAGTGAATTAAATGTTAATGATTATTACTGAACCACCTTTGGATGGAAGTTGGATGGAAGGACATCCCAAGGCACTGAGTGAGTGGTGGGAGGGGTGTGGGCGTGTGTGATCTCATCTCTGGGTGTGAGGCCTACTGGTGAGGTGATGTGGGTGCAGGACATGATATTTTTGGTGGACGCTTCTCCCACCTCACCAGGAGACCACACAAACATACCCCCGCCACTTCCCACACTAACACCCCCTGCCATATCTGTATCCGCTTTGTCTGCCACTACCCACACCCACTCCTTGGACCCACACAACATCTACTCCCTGCACCAGACCCCATACCCACCCTCACCACTCCCTGACTATACCCCTGCCATTCCCTGCATCTAAACTCCGCACTGACAACCACGCTGTTCCCCGCAGACACACCTCGGCCACTTCCTGTATCCACACCCTATTCACTTCAGTCACATCCACCCTGCCTGCTCACTAGATTTCCCAACTTCATTCCACAAGCTGCAGATTATTCAGAACTCTGCAGCTCGTGTCCTCATTCTTACCTTCAAGGCCCCCCATGATCTTGCTCACCATTATCTATCTGACCTCATAACCGCACCTCAAGCTGTCAGCTTTCTCTGCTTGGTGGACACTGGCCTGATCAGGTCCCCCGCACTTCATACCCAACCTTTGGCAGTTGGGCATTCAGCATCTCTGCCCCCACACTCTGGAACTCTATCCTGAAATCCCTCCACCTCACGCTTTCTCTTGCCTCCTTCAATTCCCGTCTGAAGACGTTCCTCTTCGACTCTGCCTTCTGCCACAGTTCCAAGAAGGTTTCGCAATAGATTGTGGCTCGGAAGGGCTGGGGGACAAGCAGCAGGCCTGAGTTAGTCGAGCGAAGGTGCAAGCAGCATCTGCTACATAATTTTCTGTTACACAAGTCATTTTGGTACACTCATTACAAACATGCACGTGTAATATATACTTGCAATTATTTTGGATTTTTCCATTATAATTTTCAATTCAAAATTGCAAATGTATTATTTATTTTGTTTCACAGTGAATGTTGGTCCCGAAGTGTAGGATTGTATGTGATGGGAAATGCAGTTGAGGTGGTTCCAAAGTGATGTGTTTGCCAACAGAATGTTGGAATCAAATCAACCCTCTCAGGCGGTCTCAGTCGTCCAATTCCTGAGCCAGGTGGGACTGCAGCTCTCCATGGCATTGCTGATGGCAGACCAAAGAGCCCTTGGCTTGTTGGAGGACTTTGAAGTGCAAACTGAAATGAGCAATTCTTCCCAATCAGCTCCTATTAACCCTACAAACCAAAGCCCTAATGGGTAGGATGGTCCGTGCAGGACAAGTAATGGCAAGCTATGTGGTTTTAATTGATTAAACTCCAGCAATACACCAACCCAAAGTTTAGGTTTCGCAAGTCTTGGCTCTTGCCAACCTTCTTCTAATACTCTCTGGAATTAGGTAAGCACAACAACAATTTTGCATTTATATAGCGCCTTTCATGTCAGGATGTCTCAAAGCGTTTGGCAGAGTTGGCTGAGAGTCTGAGTTGAGGTGGGGAAGCTCAGGAGAGAGATGATCAAAAATACGGTTACAAAGAAGTCTTTAAAGGTTAGGAGGGAACGAAGTACATCCTTCCAACGGAAGGGGAAATCAGGATTTGATCCTCCAGGGATAAACCACACTTTATTCCAGACACAGAGACATTTCCAAGTGTAGGTCGCATACATTTCTGGCTTGGGCACTCTTAAGCAGGGTAATGGCTTTCCCCAAGTGTCAGGCACACCTGCCAACCAACAGAAAAAGCACTTGGGTTTGAGTCTTAATTCAATAAGCCCTCAGTTGAAATGGAAATGTACTGATGAGAACTAATGGAACCTTTTGTGTTTTAATTCCAGTTTGGTGAGACGCAATTCAGTGGCGCATCTGTGTATCTGACGAACTTAGTAAAATATACTGTACTGTAGGTAATATTAAGAGTGCAATTGTGCCTCCTGCAGATCTAAGCTGGTCATGTTGGAGAGCCTGGTTAGGGGGCGCCGCTCAGCCGCATTGTTTGTGTGGATCCTGAAACCACCAGGAGAGGAATCATCTATCTCTTGATCTTCTTTAAACGAGGGGAATTGCCAACCTGCGTGGTCCTGGGAGCAAGGAAAAAAAATCTATATATATTTATTCTTTCTCTCTGTCTCGCTCTGTGTGTGTGTGTGTCTCTCTCTCTCTGTGTGTGTGTGTGTGTGCAGTCTCAGTCAGCATCCCAGCCATGGACAGCTCGCTGTTATAAACGGGGGGTACCATGTCGCTCGCCGTTATTTGTCCGGAGGATTTGCTGTGCGGAAAAAAAGTGCATGTGTGCACACGCCTTTATGTTCTTCCAGCAAATTTGCTTGTGCCTGGCCGGAGAAATGGAGCCGAGGGTGTATTAAGCCGTCGTATGTGAAGTCGGGAGGAGCAGAGGCTGCGTTATCCTATGCGTCTGCTGAACAAATATAGACTATGCTGGAACCAGTGGTCACAGAGCTTTTCCTCTGCTTTGGCTGCCACTGGGTTACAACGGGAAAGCCGCATATCCTCTCTCTCCTCTTATCTTTCTGCCAATATGCTGCCTCCTCTTCCTCTGGTTTCCTGCCGTTTGTGACATGACAATAAGGAGGAAGAAGAAGAAGAAGAGGAGGAAAAAAAAAAAACCCCAAAAAAAGAAGAAAAAAGGAGAAGAAAAGGAAAGAAAGAAAGAAAGAAAGAAATAAAGAAAGGGCTTAGCTAGCCAACTAGCCTGGACCCGAATGACGAATATAAATAGAAAAAAAACCATCTGGAGAAGGAAGGAAGGCAGTGAAAAATTTTGACACCATCAGCAAGATCAGGCAGTGCTGAATCTTGCACATCTTTTATTCCCCCACCACCACCACCACCACCTCCTCCCCTCTCCCCTATTTCCTTTTTTTTTTAAATTTAGATTATATTCCACCACCACCACCACCATCACCCTCTCCTCTCCTCCTCTCCCCTCTTCCCCCCTCCCAGAAGAATGGGTTGCATTCAGAGCATAACTTGCAAATCCAGGATACGGCGAGAAAATATAGTGGTGTATGACGTTTCTGCTACGATTGATCAGTGCCCAACTCTCATAGAGGAAAATTCTCCCATTGTGCTGAGGTACAAGACACCATACTTCAAGGCGTCTGCTCGGGTGGTGATGCCTCCTGTCCCCAGGAACGAAACGTGGGTGGTCGGATGGATCCAAGCGTGCAACCAAATGGAATTTTTCAACACTTACAGCGACCTGGGAATGTAAGGGAATTTGCACGGTATAGTATGCGAAACGCACAGACACTCAGTTCCGCAAAGGCACCGTGCTCCATCCTTCAGAAACAGCCTGAGAATTGGGTATAGCACGACCCCCTAATTTCCCCCCCCACCCCCCCCCCCCCTCACCCCTCACCCCTTCTCCAACAAAACAAAAGCGATTTGGCTCACCCAAGACTGCGTGCAGCCTTCAGTAAACTTGCATGACATCTTATTTCAGCGCACTCACTCGCACACGCTGCATCCTTGTGGAGAACGATGCTCTCTCCTTCTATAATTCTGGTCAATAACAGATGGTTTTGCAGTTTCAGGAAATCTTTAGAAGTCATGTCGACTCGAGAGCAAAAATACATTCCCCCCCCCCCCCCCCCCCCATTCATTTTCCCCACCACTGACTCGACTCTTGTTCTGTCTTTGCAATTTCACACACACACACACAATATATATATATATATATATACACACAGGGTGACCAAAAGGTCGTGATACCATGACACTGTCTAATAAGTCTTAAATAAATGATGATACTTTTTAGATAATAAGGTATTTTTCACGATTTTTTGGTCACCCTATATATACACATATAGACACACAACCCGTGTTCACATTTACTAGTGAAACCTAATTCGTGTTGCATTCATTTACTCAACTGGAGGATTCATATCTGTAGTGTATGGATTACATACAGCCATGCCTTTCTATCTGGGAATGAGAGAGAGTCTTGGCGAGTCAAGGTTCAGCGAAGCCGGTATTTTAAAAATATACATTTGGAATAAATATTAATGCAATATTTTGCTCGCAGTCGCGCAGCTGATGTCCATGCGTGCAAACCATTAGAGAGAGGCTTTGTAAAGACGTGGCTATTTAAAGTTTCAGGAAAACTCTTCAGCATTTGGGGGGTCAATTCCAAGTTTCCCCCAAAGTGAAATAAACCAGTAAACTAACCAGTCTGGATCAGTGTGCCGTTCTGTCATCAGCAAAAGTGGTTACTGTCAGCGAACTTAACCAAGTATTGATTGATGGACAAATGGTGAAACAGCCATAAAAATGCCAAGAAGCAATGAATGTACTTTTTATTACATTAAACTGCTTTAAAAGGGGGAAATTGCAATTCGGCTTGCCGCATTTTGCTCTGAGTTAATTATTAATTGCATTGGTGGGAAAATGGTGAAATAACCGTAGAAATGCTGAGGGGGAATGAATGTACTTGTTTGTTGTATTAAACCGCTTTAAAGGGGTTTTAATTGCAAGTGACAATGTCCAGGCTTGATTCTAAAGAATTGGTGTTGGAGAATCTTTCTGTGGCTTCAGTTGAAGGATTGGCATCCAAATTGTAGATTTCAAAATGCACTGTTTTTAATGAACCGGAGTTATGAAAGTCAGGTTTCCGAAATAGTCTGTGGGCATTTTTTCTGGTCTCTTTCACACGGGCACCGAAATCGAAGCAAACTACTATACTGAGGGGAACCTGTGACATTCTTCCCCTTACCTTACAGACCATCAATTATGTTTAATGTCACTGATCGGAAATAAAACACGCCTCAAATTGACTCATACATCAAAATATTGCCATCACTGATATTCCAGTTCCCCTTAAAAAAAAAACACCCAATTGTTCTCTGCTCTGATGCTGCAGTTATCACTGTTGCAGTCACTGAGCACAGAGACTGTGTGTTTGGATGGTTTATGCTGTATGAAATTGACCCGAAAGGAACCAGCGCATCATTGCTGGGGAGGTGGTGGGACACTGCAGTTTGAATCTTACACTTTGTGAGAGCCTCAGCAATAACAAGCAATAGTTCCTGCAGGCACCAAATATAGAACATCTCCAAATACTTTGCATAGCTCAGTCCAGTGATGCGATATGGATAAATGTACTATTGTCTTATACGCATAGCCTCAGTGCCTTTGCACTGAAGAAACAGTAGAGCTGTTCCCTCCACACCCTCCACACATCCTACACATTCACTCTTTAAACATGTGTGTGTGTGTCTGTCACATTCCTCAGCACCAAACCAAAACGTGTTGGCAAAAGCTCAAAGTAAATTAAATACCGCCTCGTCATTTGATTTGTGGTCCCACGTTATGATTTGCAACGGTGACGAACAACTTCAATAGAAACTCCTTTTTCTTAAAAAAAAAGTTTTCTTTAATTATCTGTCAGAATTAATCAAAAATATGTGACCGTATAATTAGAAATATTTGTAAGAAAGATTGGAATGTCCCTGATAGGTACTGTAAATGAATTAATAATAATCCTTGCATTTGATATAGCATCTTGTCACGACGTTGAGATGGTTTAAAGCACTTCACAGAATATAGGATTGTTGATTTCACTCTGCCACCTTTGTTGCTGGCTTGATTAACAAACCGTTTTACCTTCAGACTGCTTAAATGCAATGGAATGTTTTCGTGTCCCATAACTTTTTTTCCCCCACTGACAATTCTACTGTACGTTTTCAGGGACTTCTGATGAAACTGCTTTTTACAGAGAGTAGAAAATGTGGGAGTAGATTAACTCCTAACAATAACTCTTCAGAAGAACATGACTTTTGCAAAGTAGTTATTTTGTATTGTCGTGGATTGAGTCAGTATTTCTGTAATTCTATATTAATATGATCTGGGGAAACCGGCACATTGGTCTTCCACCTATTGAGCTCAGGTTTGATTTAAGCTCATTACTAAAGGGATGAAAGTTTTCTCAGAGTAACCTGCGAAATGAGTTGGAAGGTCCTTCATCTTAATGGGTTCCCACTCTGGCATGTGAGTCAGTGACTGGAAGGCATCAATTAAACATAGTCAGCAAATGAGTAAATGGGAGGTGAGGAGAATTGTTTTTGTGGTTGAATTCACATGAGCTTTCGAAAGGGAACTCCATAAATATCTAATAAAAAAAAACGAGCGAACTCCTGGTATGGGGAAAGGGCAGGTAAATGGGACTGAAAGGATTGCTCATAAAAGAGCTGACAAAGACACTATGGACCAAATTGCCTTCTTCTGGCATGTTAAATTTCTGAGGTTCTATACCGTGAGCTCCTCCAAAAGGGAATAGGAGCTTTTCTCTGCTGAAGCAGTGGTGCTGTTCCGAAGTTGACTCTGAGACACTTTGTTGGGCAGGACAGAAGAAGCTTTACTCCATGTCTAAGGTTCAAGTATAGCACCAGTATTTGATGTAGACACACTGATTACCCAAATTGGGAACCCGTTCTACTCCTCTTAACAGAGCAAGATTCAAAGGGAAAAAAGTAAAGTATATGTGTCCCTCTGTCTGTCTATCAATTGAACTAGGGCTCAGACTATTATGCACAATAATTAGCTTAAAATAAAATATGTAAATGAAATTGTGATGAGCATCGGACATGCGAGTGATCAAGGAATAGCTGATGAGGTTTGTGCTGTTAAATTGACATTCTGGAGCAAGCATGCTGAATAGAAAGACATTCTAATATTGTGGCTTTACCCATCTGTTTTAAAAAGATCATTTGACCATTTTGAGTTAGTTTGCTTATATGGCGAAATGGATGTGTTTACAATGCTGATTCTGCATTGCTTTATTGCTCTGTGCAGCTAGTGTATTGTTTGCAATCTGAGAGCCACCAGATCCTCACATACTACGCCCACTCCCGTTATTTATATTTTGGCAGCCACTTACAATCATAGCTTTAAATTGCTATTATGTTTGTTCTGAGTGTGCCCACTTTTTTATTTTGGGATCTTCAGAAACATTTGGGTATTTCCCTGTAGATTATCACAAAGAATGCGGAATAGCTACTTACATGTTTACTATAATGGGCCGTTTTAGTATTACCTACAAAAATGAACCATAACACCAATTGCGTTATAAGATGTACAGTGCTGTATTTTTCAATACAATCTTATATAGTGGATACAAAGTACATTAATAATCCCAGGACCAGCTAATCTCGGTTATCTTCCCTCAATCAAATAACAGAATAGTACATATGATGCCACTTAATGCCAACAATTTATTTTAAAGGAAACATTAATTTTCCCACTTCCATTCGATAGAGTGAGTGAGAATTTGTAACCTTTTACCGGGTGCTAAGATAGAATGAGGACTTCATCTGCAATCTAAAACAATGGAAATCACTGCTTATCAGCCTTCCCAACCCTTCCCTCCACAAGCTGCAGACCATCCAGAATTCTGCAGCTCGAATCCTCTCCCTCACCAGGCTCCATGAATCCATCACATCCCCCCTTGCCCGGCTCCACTGCTTCCCTATCCCTCAGAGGATCGAGTTCAAAATCTTCATCCTCACCTTCAAGGCCCTCCAGGCCTTGCCTCCTACCTCTCCGACCTGCTAACGCCTTATCAACCTGTCCACTCCCTCCGCTCAGCAGGCCTGCTCCATGTCTCCTGCCCTATCTGCCATCGGCAGCCGGGCTTTCAGCCTCTCTGCCTCTACCCTCTGGAACTCCATCCCACATTTCCTTCACCTCAATCCCTCCCTTGCCTCATTCAGGGCATGCCTCAAGACCCTTGTCTTCGACCATGCCTTTGGCCACCCTCTCTGCCCTCCACCTTCTGTGCTCTCCCTGATCCCAACCCCACCCCTCCCCACCCCGCTCGGGTCCTAATCCTTAATCCCTGACTGTTCACTGCTTTGGGACATACTCCCGACGTGAAAGACGTTTTACAAATGGAATTTTGTATTGCATCACGTGTTGTATTTTACGGAGGGTTTCAGGCCCAGATATATTGTCTGACAAAGAAATTTCTGAAGAGTACTATTTTGCATTTTACATAAAATGCTAACAGGCAGAGACTACCGATTCTCTTTCACATCTGTTCTTCTAAGCTCTACAGAAAACCAACTCCAAAGTTAAGACTGAATTCAACAATTTTCCAAATTCTGGATGCTCTGAAACTCTGCATTAATAGAGACAATCGGGAGCCAGTTGGAATTTCTCCTCCTCATGTACTTGCAATCTCCACATGAATGGGAGAAGCAACTTCCTTATATCATATTAATATCATAATCCTTGCATATCGGTCGGACACCTCAAAACACTTCATAGGATTTACTGTAAAGTGTAGTGACTGTGATTTTGCAGGTGAGTGGGATATGGTGGTATTTTGTAATTGCAATCTAATTTATTCCAGATACATGGGGAAACCTTATCGGGGTGAAGCCTTGCTGTTGCTTTGCTTGGTGTGTTGTTACTTTTTTTGATGGATGTTGAAAGTCATTTCTAAAGATTTCTACTGTACCAACTTCAATGAAGCGTATCTTGAATTAAATTAAACTGCCACTTTGAATACAGTAGAAGTTGAGAACAAGAGTTAGTTTAACAAGCCTTACTAACATTTCATTTTCTTACATTGATTCAAATCTGAAATGAAGATAAATCGAAAACGAGCACAGAAGTGATCTAATGTGTTCTTTCACTGCTTGTTATGATTGCTCTGGTCAGCCTTGTTTTTGTGAGGTTGCTTTGCTCTTTATGATTATTATTATTTTTATTATTATTAAGGTGGGATGATTTCACACTGCTAACTGGAAGTAATTCACCCCAGCCCTGCAGTAATGCTACTCCAAAAGTAGATTGAGTCAGAGTGACACATGTTCTAATGGGATTTCTTAATATTTCCTTCCCAAAGAATCCCATTAGAAATTGCCACTAGTGATACCCTAGTAACTTTAGTTATTCCACTTTTGAGAATGCAAATCTAGAAATTTATTGAAAAAAANCTTCTCCAATATTTCTAAAGAAATAAATTTTCAGTAAATTCCTAGATTCTCATTCTCAAGAGAGTTGTGCAGGATTTACACTACGTCTTGAGCTGAGTAGCATGCAAATTTTATTTTGTAATTCAAGTTACATGGAACTTACATATACATAACAGTGTGGCTGGGTGGGTCTTATGTAGTTACTACATTTAGGTGGTAATAATTTCCATTTGTCTTGTTGCGTTGTTTGGAACAATTATACTATTAAACAAATATTTTATTTTCCAAAAGATACAGTTTGCCCACAAAATACACAGTCACTGATCTTTACAGTATATACCTATGAGATGAATTGAGACGTCCTCCCGAGATAAAAGGCGCTATATCAAATGTAAGGATTGTCGTCAATGATAATAGTGACTGTGCTGAATCTCAGTTCTGTGCTGAGTTGCAGTGGCAACTGGGTCTCTTATTTCTTTCAGGGATCCAAGAACTAGGAGATGAAAATAAAAAAGCTGGAATTTTTGAATCGTTTTTGTTTAAATGCAGCTTTGAAACTGATTTATTTAATTTGAAGGTTGGTGCTTGGAAATGGAGAACTTTCCCACTTTGGCACCCATTGTGAGTCTCAGTCAGCCCTGGTGGAACCCCTTCATCGCACAATCTCTGCCAACTATCTGAAATGGCAACAGTACAAATTGTTATTTTCGTACTCTTGCTCTGCTTATCGTCCTTTTCGGTGGAATTGCCAATTCAGTACTAGTTAGTGGTGAACCTGTGCCGTGATTTGTGCTGCAGACCCACAGACACTAATGAACTAAAAAGAGGGTTGATATTGCCTAAATGTATTTAACCAGGCACAAAATCTGGACTTGGTTTGATCCAAGTCCTGGAAGTGTCACCTAGTATTCCACATATACAGTCACGCATATTCTGATTTCAATAAGCAATTTAGGTATTGGATTATTATCTTAATGATGGTGTTAGTTACTTATCCTGGAGATTTATTTTAAGAGGATCTTAAATATTCTAACCTAAAGCTCCTTGTTATGTTCTGCTGTCCTCTGGGGAGAGGGGGAAAGGCAAGATACAGCTGAGTTTGGCTTAGTATTAAAATGAAGGAGTTGAGTCAACTTTCTGTGGTCCTTTTGGCAGTCTGGTTCCTGAGCCAGGTGTTCCAGGGGTATCCAGGGCATCTGATCACAGACCAGCTGACTTGGCTCGTCAGCCAGACTTGAAGGTGCAGACCAGTCATTGGGGGCAGGGATTCTTCCCACTCAGCTCCTGGTAATCCTGAAATGGGTAGTGTGGTACTGGCTGGGCAAGCAGCGGGATGCTTGTCAGACAGTTGTGGTTTTAAACTCCAGGGGAGCCTCAACGCACACTCCAGCCTTAGTTCTTACCAAACTGTGCGTAGTGCTTTACGGAATTGGGTAAGCTGGTGTGTCACTCCAAGGAGAGAGTGCACATTCCATTCTAGACACAGGATTTTCATGTGTAAGTGACATACGTGAAACTCTGTCTGGTTTGCATAATTTAAGCGTGACGATGGATTTCCGCTTGTGTCAGACACCTGGCTGACCAAAATAAGTACATTATACGTTTTTCAATAGAAACCTTCACCAGAGCAAGTTTTTAAGCTATCAGAGAAAGACAAGCGCTGGATCTGCTGGAATATTTCAAAATGTTGTTTGGTTTCTGTAACAACATCAATTACCATTTAGGATGTATTCCATCATAGCCAAAGTGGGTAAACTTTATAATACTCTGAGAAATGATTGTACCCACGTTAATGTGATCCTGAGGAACAGGCAGCAGAGAGACTGAATCATTTTATATATTTATCCCTCTTTTCTCCAAAAGACTCAAGCATAGATTGGATTGCTTTAGGTAATGGAGAACTAATGTAACAGGACTTGACACAACTCATTTGAGTGTTGTGGCATGGAATTGTTCTACCACAATTAATTATGTATTCGCTCGTATGAGTACCACTCCTGGGAAACACATTAGCACAAAGCTGTTAGAGCTACGACCTGCCCTCGAGGAGTTGCTTTAACACCAGGGTTAACCATCCAACCTTCCTATTGAAGGCATCCTGACACAGTTAGATAAGGACATGAAGACAGATAAGATTAATTTTTCTGTGGATCCTGCTTGAGGAGTACAACAAACAGCTGTATCTTATATGTATTGAATTTATCCCTGCCCTGATTTCATGTTGGTATACCTAACCAAGGCTAACCTCTGGTACTTTGTCTGAATGGTCATTTTTCATGTGAGACTGGATAACTCTGGGGGAGGTGGTGGTGTGGAGGTGGGGGGGGGGGGGGGGGGGGAGGAGGGAATGATGATGAATAGACAACCAAGCCTGATCCTTATCTCCCTTGAATTCACAAATTGATACTTTCGGTGATGCGTGTCACAGGATAATAGGTATCACTGGATGACAAGAGTAGGAAACGTAGCTGTTTTTTTAATCTTTGTCCTAGTTCAGGAATGCTGAGGCCAAACATAAGGAGTTTTGTCCACAAAATACACAGTCAATCCACAGTATATCATGTAAATTCTGTGAAGTGCTTTGTGATGTCTTGATGACAAAAAAGCAATCCACCAATCGACCAAGAATCGGGTTCCTGCTTACTGCTAGATTAACAGAAGCGTATAGATGTCTCTGGGCTTGTTTGCAATTTGCTACATCATTATTTTTATTATTATTAAGGTAACAGCAAAATCAACAACTTGCATTTATATAGCGCCCTTCAATTGGGATAGCATCTTGGAGCGCTTGTATACTGAAGGAGCAAGCTAACTGCTCTCTCGGCTAAGAATAGGTAACTCAACACAGACCAGGATTGAAAATTGTGACCTTCTGGCTTACATCTCTTTGTCATATATTAGGCGGCTCCTTTACCCACTAGGCCAATGGTAAATGACGGATTTAATAATGAATTATACAGAAACCGTGTGTGTACAACCAAAGACAGATTTCTCATTATCTTTTAAATAAAGTAATTTTTCTTGGGCCACAGTATATTTCAAAAGAAACATTAATAAAGAAACTGCAACCTGACTCATCAAACTCTCCAAATTAAATAAACAATTGACCCCGTGGCTCTCTTTCAAATTAAGCATAAAATATAAATATATTTAAAAAATGCTTACGCAAAGGCAAGTGTTGGAATACAATGTATATCAAAACAATGTTAATCAGATTTTCATCTGGTATTGGATTAATTTTCTTTCAAAAGATATTCACAATTTTATTTTGTATGTCATTACTTCAAATGAACCAGTATAATAATAATAATCCTTACATTTGATATCGCGCCTTATCAAGTCGTTGAATATATTGTAAAGTGAATTGACTGTATATTTTGTGGGTGCAATGCAACAACCAATTGCCCACAGCAGTGTTCCACAAACAGTCATGGATTGAGTGGCCAAATTTTTTTTAAAAAAAAGCAATCCACCAATCGACCAAGAATTGGGTTCCTACTTCCTGCTAGATAAACAGAAGCATGTGGAAGTCTCTGGGCTTGTTTGCAATTGCAGACACATAATCTGATGTGCATTTATGCTTGGTTTTCCAGGTCGAGCTGGGAACTTCCTGATTTGCGAGAGGGCAGGGTTAAAGCTATCAGTGATTCTGATGGGGTGAGCTATCCATGGTACGGCAACACTACAGAAACAGTGACTCTGGTTGGTCCGATAAACAAGGTATCTCGGTTCTCAGTGAGCATGAACGACAATTTTTATCCAAGTGTGACCTGGGCAGTGCCTGTGAGTGACAGTAATGTGCCACAGCTAACCAGAATTAAAAGAGACCAAAGTTTCACCACCTGGCTAGTAGCCATGAACACAGCCAGCAAAGAGAAGATCATACTGCAGACAATCAAATGGAGAATGCGTGTTGACATTGAAGTTGACCCATCCAAGCCATTGGGATACCGTGCTAAACTTGTTGGAAGGAAACAGCAGGAACAGCCTCGAATATTGACCAGGATGGATCCTATGCCTTCAAATGCCTTGGTGAAACCCAATGCAAACGATGCCCAGGTTTTAATGTGGAGACCCAAACGTGGTATACCTCTAGTTGTGATACCTCCCAAATAATTATTAACAATATTAACAATAATAATTTTTTAAAAAGACTGGAATCATCCAAGGAAATATTATAACACCGTGAATTTCACAGACCTCCTGCTCATTCTGCAGCAAGAAATGAATCAGGCTGGAGATTTTTTGTTACGCAGTTTTGTTTTAAAGGAGGTGGTTATATTATGTCGCGGGATCTTACGTGACTGTTTACAAAAGTACAGCAATTGGACCGTACAGCCATTCTGGTAACACTTGATTCTCTTTGTTTTTTGATAAGGCAAGTTCTCAGTCCAGATGAACTGGCCGTGGTGCTGAAATCTGACACGAGTAAGGTACCACTATTTTATAATTGCCCAGAGGCTTGCTCTGCATTGACAGGCTTCAGTGAAGTGATGCTTCCTACTATTGCTACTTGTCTATTTATTCAGTGGATTGACTGACTGATAACGTTTTTGCATGCACCTCGTGGTAAAAGAACATTTATTGTTGGGAATCTCCATGTGCATTCAGTTTGTGTGTTGTGAGTGGTTTTACGCCTATATGGAATCACAAGTGTTTTGCAGTCAACTGAATGACTTTTTAATATAACATTTGCAGTATTTATTTTCAGTGCTTTTCTTAGGCCTACGTTCAAATATTACAGAAACAACAACAAAAATGCTCCCATTTGACACTGCATTTATTGTCATTGCATTAAAAAAAAGTGTGCCAAAGTGGCTCCGAGTTTAAAGTCATTTTCACTGAATTTAACACACGATTGATCCAAACTTCTCATGGCTATTAACTTGATGGAGACCGTGAGAAATGTTGTTAAATTATTATTTTTTTAAAAAAATCCTCATTATTACATTTTAGTCATAATAACTGCAGGCAAATCTTTAATTAGGATTCCTGCAGGGTTAAAATGTATAATGGGTTAGCATTTTAAAATTATTCAAAATCGTTTCAAAAGTTAGATACTCTAGCAGAATAAAAATTGTAACCATCCGTGTTAGTTCAAGAGCTCAGACCTGGCCAATTCTTCTTGTGTCATTAAGCGATTCCTTGTTAAACATTTCTTTTTTAACAAGTAACTTGGGTGACATTCTGTATCTTTGGTGCTTTCATTGAATCATCATCCACTGACATGGTCAGGGATGCTCCTGTTCCTGTGACAATCTCATTGCCAACAATGAGGATAAAAAGGAATGCTGGAAATGGGGAAATAAAAACAAAAATGGACAGCATCTTAATCAGCATGAAAGAGGAAGAAATATAGGTTAATGCTTCAAGAGGATCTCTTTGCAGAATGGTGACAGAGGATAGGACGAGATCAAGAAAACACTTTCATTAGGAAGGCAAGCACATTCTCCATCCAATAAAGGTCCTATTCCTAACCAATCATTTTGGATTTTGATGCACTCCCCCAAAAAAATAGTTAACCCATCTTTTGCTTTCAGATACTGATCAGCCTGTTGGCTATTTACATTTTCCTTACAGTAGGTATAAGTGGTTGGCAGAATCCAACCTGCTGGATTCCGAGTGAGTAAAAGGAGTGAGCGGTGAGTGTGGGACTATTTTTGTGCGTGTCAATGCCAGTCTTTCTCGGATCATAACAGAATGGGAATGCCTTGGCCATAGATCTATGACATCTGGTCGGTTGATTGTGAATACAGGAGTTACTGCAACTTTGATTTCCCCTCTGCCTACTGTGGGAAAAAACAAGTTGTGTATTTAACTTTCGCACCACATCTATAAACTCTGTTGGTGTTTTTTGTTACAAAATCCCACCCCTACCGATTTGTTTTTTTTTGATATTGAAGTAAAATGGGAGGATGTGAATAATAGGTATTCGCCTGGAAAAATACGAATTGATTTGTTCTGCTGCAAAGAAGCTTGGCTTGCAGCGTGCCTTATAACTACAGTAGCGAGAGATGGACAGCATAAGCTACCTAGCTCTTCCTGGAGCGCAGACCAAGGTAGATGTTTGGCTAACTGTTCTTTGAATTGGAGGTTGAAAGGTGACAAACTTTGTTTGTTGGTAGATTGCATGCATTTTATGTACCTGAGCAATTTGCACTTTGATTTGTTCATTTATTGTGGAATAACAACACACCACTTTCATTGCTGGAAAACAATGGAATAAAAATGCATTTTTTTTCTACGTGCAATGGAATCTGTTAATTAACAACTTCGCATCTGAGTGACCTTAATTCTACATGATTCTTATTTATTGTATACCTGGGGGGTAATGCCAAATGGATTGAGCAAATAAACAAAAGGGTATTGGCCTTTTCAGGCTCCCTGTTTATAGTGAAGTTTCTGTCTTTATGCGTCATATTTTTGTTGCCTTGCTTGGTGAAAATTGTGTACATTTGGGTGAAGGGAGCGGGTGAAGACTGATTAAGCAATGAAGCAATGTTTCGTTCTATGCAGTATGTATGTTGGTACATTGTTCGGGTACAATACAGGTGTATCTGCAGCTAGGAATTCCTATTAACACTACAGTACTCCCTAGCCAATTACCTTGCAAACCGAGGAAACTCTTGAGTGGGAGGAATTACCTTGCAAACTGAGTGGGAGAACTTGAATGAAAGCCTGGTTCTGTGACGCTATCTCAGTCAGTTGCAAAATATGAAAGAATTCTCATTGCTGCACCAGGATCGATATCAAACCGAATGTTCGCTGCTTTGAGTGTTTTAAATGTGCAAAAAAAAAAGTAACATTGATTAAAAACAAGCAGGGACGGTGACAGTCTGCAGAAAAGCCGCCACGTGGCTTTCCTTTGTCCTTGTGATTTTTGTTGTGCTGTTTTGCCACTGTTCTGCTTCATGCCAAAAACAATCCATCTACCTTACATGCAAACCAGATCAGCAACTCATTAGCTCAATCACTACTCCTATTGTGAAGCCATATAAGCAGCTGTTCTCATCTCTGTGGTTGTGCTGCTCTGTGTTGAATTAAAACTTAACCCTTTATTTAAGACAGGGTTGGTTGGCAATAAAAAGAGGAACTCAAAAACAAGTATCTTAACTGAACTCCTACCAACAGGAGACCATACATTATTATGTACATTGAGGAAAGATATTTAGAGATGCATTTTATTGTTGTGGCATTAGATGAGTAGCATATTAAAGACATAAATGATATGCGCATAAGAGCAAGATGAATCCTCCTAATTAAAATATTTTTTTTTACCACTCCAGGATTTTTAATTTGCTATGTATAATGCTTTAAAAAATTGGGGTTTGACCATGCAAATGTTATTACAAATTTTAATCAACTCCATTAATACCAGCCCAAACTTGAGCAAAAAAACATTTTGTGCCAAAAAATTAAGTGGCAGCTGTCCAAATTTTTTTAGTGAGGTCAGTGAGTCTGCTGTAACTCAACATCGTAAGAGCACCTTCTACTGCTATGGATCTGCATCTTTTGCAGCCATATTTCTTGCCTCATTTTTATGCCTCTTTGATTGAAATTGCCCAGATGGTGATGAATCATAGATTGATGTGTTCTGTAGGCTCTCATGGGAACTGCAAAGGGATAGTCCATACTTAAATCCTGCAACCTCCATAAAGCAGATTTTCTTCTCTTGTTTCCAGACAGGATCCTAATCCGGATCCCAGGGGTAGAAGGACAACAATCTAATTCACTGCACTAGGTTTTCCTTCCCCTCAATTGACTCAATCAGACCAATTTCACAAAGATCCATAGTTAGTGGGATTTGGGATTCATTAAATGAGTTACAAAATAAAGCAACTGTACATGGCCGAAATTATGTAAATCAGAAGTTCAAAATTGCATAGTATTCATTTATCTCAGACTTGAAGCAAGAGCAAGCAATATTTTGGCAAGTCGGTAGGCACATATGTTTGACATACACCTATGATATTTTACACCGTTTGACTAATTTAGACACAGGGAATTGAAGAGGAGTCATGAAAATCTCATTAACGTCCTATTTCCCAGCAAAGATTTAGGTGTAATTCTGGCTGAATTGGTAGCATTCCCATCTCTGAGTCAGAAGGTTGTTGGCACAAAAATGCTCAGTGTCAGTCTTCGAACATACAATCTAGGCTGATACCCAGTGCTGAGCAGGGGCTGCAATGTTGGAGGTGCCGTCCTTTGGATGGGATGTTAAACCAAAATCCTGTCTGTCTGTGGATGTCAAAAATTCCATTGGCACAATTCAAAAAAAAGATGGTTTCTCATGGAGTCCTGGCCAACAATTCCCCAGGTAAAATTGGTCATTCAATTTATCACTGTTTGTGAGTTTTTGCTCTGAGCAATTTCGCTGCCGCATTCACTTACAAAATACACAGTCACTGCCCAACAGTAAATCCTGTGAAGCTTTTTGAGATATCCTCCCGATGTGATAAGACGCTACATCAAATGTGAGGATTATTATTCGATTTCTAGACATGGTATTGACTTTTACAGAATTTGCCTGCATCTGCGAAATAATCTTTTTATGTGTAAAATCTAAAGATTTTTTTAAAAAAATTTACTGCTGAAATCTAAGCTAACTGCTAATAAAATGAAGATAAATCTGCCTCTCACAGCTGTGCTTGACCATTAACTAATGTGTCCAAATAGATTAGGAACTGCGTGCATGGAATACAACAAAAGATGTATTTAACACCAATATGCAATGATAAATTTGTTTAGTCTCAATGTAGTGTGTTTATTTTCAATGTTGCATCTTGAAATTGAATCTCTTGCAGTTGTCATTGGGGACTGTGTCTAAAATCCTCATTACCACAGGGATTGCTGTGTGCGATTTTGTAGAAAGCAAACTTTGCTCCGTCGAAAACTACTACTAAGTACACTTGTAATATAATGAGTACCATCGAAAACATGCACGGGGGAGGCAGAAGAATTCGAACCCTTTGAATGGATCCATGATTCACCTTAACCTGTGGTAAGGGCGCTTTTGAAGAAATTGCCCTAGAGGAATACGATGTACAAGTACAGCTTTAGATATTGCTGACAGCAACAATATTTGAATATTAATGTAAAGTGCACAGCTTTGCCTGAACTGTAAGTGATTACAAATGTAACACGTAAACATCCGAGAGTGGCTTCTAACAAAAACAGGGAACATATTACTCGTTTATTGCTGTTCATGCTAATCCACATATTATGGCTCCTCACTGTAGCAGATCCTCTTTTTTTTGTTATGTTGATTTTACTTCATAGAATGGCTATTTTAGTTCATTAGCTTTAAATGGCCAAACGCATTTTTATTACAATGTTCTCTCATGAAAATGCTGAGACTTACTGAGTCACAAGGGATCCACTGCATGTGTAATTCTGGAAAATAGCATCTGTAGGTGATACAGTTGTGGTGGGTGTTAAGCCGAGGCTGTTCCTATTCTTAACCAACCTCCATGCACATATTCACTTTTATTGGATGACAATAATAATTCTTCCTTTTGATATAGAGCCTTACCACATCATTGAGATGTCTCAAAGTGCTTGTATATTGTATAGTGGATTGACTGTTTATTTTGTGTGTGAAACACGGCAGTAGTCTCCCACAAACAGTCGCGGATTGACTGACCACATTTTTTTGGTTTTCTTTGGAGGTATTATTACCCCGAAAAGCAATCTGCCAATCAGCTAACAATTAGTTTCCTACAATGTGGAGGTATGTGGAATAAGGAATCTTGCCTAAAATTTTGCCCTGCCCGGGAATCAAACCTGGGTCTGCTTATTTACTATGCTACAGGACTCCACTATTCTATATCAATACAGTATTGCATACTGATGGTACTGCTATGACTGAGATCAGCTTACTCAACACAGACCAGGGAACAAACCTGTTAGTGTGGCCTAACACTACGCTAGGTGTAGTTCCTTAGCCACTAGACTATTTGAAATGCTCA